AATAAAATTTGACACACAAGTAGACTACACTAAGATACAGAATTTAGTTCATCGGTTTTTGATTTCAGTGAACGGTGTTGCCATGGTTACTAAAGTAAGAAATTTTGGTAAACTTCCTTTAAAACGCTACTCCTCCTACAGTTTTGGTCTGATTTCAGTATAACTTGGCAAACAAGTAGACTAAACTAAGATACATAATTTACTGCATCGGTTTTTGATTTCGATGAACAGTGTTGTCATGGTTACTAAAAATAGAAATTTCTGTGAAATTCCTTTAAAACGCTACTCCTCCTACAGTTTTGGTCTGATTTCAGTATAACTTGGCACACAAGTAAACTACACTAAGATACATGCATCGGTTTTTGATTTCGTTGAACGGTGTTGCCATGGTTACTAGAAATAGAAATTTCTGTGATATTCCTTTAAAACGCTACAACTCCTACAGATTTGGTCTGATGCCAATGGTTTCTTTTCTCTTCCTTTGTTATAAGTACAACCCAATAGAGCTTCAGTCTTGACAGAGACTTCTGGTTATTTTATACGTCTAGGGATTTTGTATTATACTCAGGTGACGGTTAGAACCCTTAGGCCTCTTGAATAAAGTGCATGTACACAAAATGTATTTTAGGCTGTCCTATCGTACGATGTCCGTTTTGCTGGCGAGGATATGTATTGAGCAAGAACGACAACCAGTGCGTGACATGTCATTGTAAATGGGGACTTTGGTAAAGATTTGCTCTCTACGCATAAAGATGAATTTTGATATTTGGTGAAGATCTGCTTTCTACGTTGAAACATCAGTTTAACATTTATTGAAGATTTGCTCTCTTAATTCGCCTACACATCAGTTTAACATTTAGTGAAGATTTGCTCTCTACGCATAAACATCAGTTTAACATTTAGTGAAGATTTGCTCTCTACGCCTAAGCATCAATTTAAACGTTTGGTGAAGATTGCTCTCTACGCCTAAACATTAATTAAAATGTTTGGTGAAGATTTGCTCTCTACGCCTAAACATCAATTTATACGTTTGGTGAAGATTTGCTCTCCACGCCTAAACATCAATTTTATATTTAGGGAAGATTTGATCTCCACGCCTAAACATTAGTTTAAACATTTGGTGAAGATTTGCTCTACACACCTGAACATCGCCTAAATATTTGATGAAGTTTTGCTAAATATCAATTTCAACAAAAATTTTTGAAGATTTGCTCTCTTTTAATTCGCCTAAACATCATTTTAACAAGGTAGTCTTCTTTCTTTTGAAAACAATTTTACAGTTTGTATTTCTCTTAAATTTCATCATTAGTTTAAAAAATAAACATCATTTATTTCAGTATGTTTGATTTATATTTATTCGAATCAAGCTTGAAGAACATTTTTGTAGAAATATAAATTAATGTATCTTAAATATAAGATATTACACATGTATCCAGTCCTGTGTATTGTATATTTTCAAATGTTCTGTGAAAACTTGTTAATGTTGCTGAAAACAAGGCTTTACTTAATAAAAGAATATCGGAGCATGGATTTCAAACAGGATCATACATGATAATGAATTCCTCCCTCTCCATTCAACATATACTGTTGACAAGCAAATTACTAATCGCCATAATATGGATACTAAATTAGACAATAGAGGTAAAGATGTATTAGATCTTTGTATAACCCATCAATTGAGAATATTGAATGGTTGCACTTTTGGGGACATGTTTGGTAGATATACTTGTTTCACAGCAAATGGATGTAGCACAAAGGACTTTGTTATGGTCTCAGAAGATATTTTGAATGACATATTGTATTTTAGAAATTCTGATTTTTACCCACATTGTCTGATTGTCACTGTTTATTACAATGGTCACTGTCTGCTAGATTCTCATTTTAGTCAAAAAATAAGGCTATTGATAATACATTTCCAGTATCTCCAAACTATATAAGGTCTGAAGAATCCCTTATTCTCTTTGATGCAGCCCTTAAATCTGATGAAATACAGAAAAGATTGCAACACTTATTGAGCCATAAACACTTAGATTCTCAAGAACTAATTGACAATGCCTTCACAGAATTAACAAACATAATAATGAAAAGTGCCGATAAATCTCTACGAAAATGCAAAAAAAACACAAGACAAATAAAAAATCACAGAAATGGTTTGATGGTGACTTAAATACAATGAGGCGAAACCTCCTCAGTTATGGTGAAATATACTCGAGATTCCCAAAAGACCCTACTGTTAAAAATCACTATTACAAATTATATAGAGAATATACAAAATCAAGAAAATATAAGTGTCGCAAATACAAACAATCTTTATTAAAACAACTAGAAATGTTACACGATGAAAACCCTAAATCTTACTGGAATCTAATAGATAAGCTTCAAGGAGTAGAGAAAAACAACGGTACTGAGGCAATTGATCCTTCAATATGGGTCTCCCATTTCAAGGACTTTAACAAACCTAAACCAAACTTCAACCATCGTTTGACACATAAGATAGCATCTTCAATGATTTAGAAAAAGAAAAGTATCTTTATGTATTACATTTCAAGTTATATACTAGGATCCTCTGTACCCCAAGCAGTCCTGGCTACTTGGGGTACAAGACTGACAGTCTGTATTGTCATACTGTTCAATAGACACCGTCCCTTGGTGCCCCAGGTAGTCCGGCCAACAAATTAAGTTTTCCTCCTACAAGCTGTCTTGGTTGCTAGAGGTACAAGACCGAGCAAGCTGGTTTTTCATTTTTTTTCCAGACTGCTCAATAGGCATCGTCCCTTGGTACCTTATACTACCAGGCCAACAAAATATACATACTTTTTTTTAATTATATGATTAATAATAATAATATGATTACATGTACTTGTTTGCTATTATCCGCCTGGTCATTGCAGTATAAAGGAGCTTGGTATTTTATCATTATTTGTTCTTTCTTCATATTGTATTATTATTATTATATTATATGTAATGCTTATATTTCATTGTGAACTATCCTGTATATCAGTACTTCAAATCTGAGAACTTTTACAAGTGAGGATCAAGTCAATTTTGCATTGTTATAATCATGATTATATTGTTTGTTTCTTAATTGTGTATGCCCCCAGAGGGCCCTTGATTGGTGAAATAAATAAATGTATGTACATGTAAGCAGCTTTAATGCTATACAATTATTGCTGTTTTTGAGGTCAATACAATGATTTAACCATCTGAGGAATACAATTTTCACCGAGCCCGAAGGGCGAGGTGAATATTGTACTTTGAAGATGGCTAAATCATTGTATTGGCCGAAAAACAGCAATAATTGTTTTATTATGTGATTCACTGATAAAATGATTGAGCTCATTTTGTATTTACAACACGTTTCTTATCCTTATGAAGAAAGTTACAAGTCCCCCGATATTGATATATCTTAAATTTTGCAACCAATCAAAATCTACTAAGATTGCAACTAAAAGAATTTTGAAAGCTTAATCTCTAAATAGCTGGGAAACAAACACGACTTTGTCAGATGTGGAATCCGGAATTGCCCCAATTTGCTTATTTTTAATAATAAAAATCCCTCTTTTTTGAGAAATATAGCTTCTGAATTGAATAAAGATGAATAAACCAATGTACCAGAGGATAATGTTTCAAGCACAAAGGCTTTTGATCAAAATTGCATTGATTCTCAGCACCTGTGTTTTATGAATATGTAACTTTATATGAATAGCATTAAGATATTTGATATCTTTTGTATTTTTCCCCCTCACCATTTTTCCAATTTTATCTTTGATCTTTTGCCTCAAGAAAGGACGGAAAAGATTAGATGGGTACAAATAAAGCAATAAAATACTAAAGGGGATTTGTCTATAAAAAATTAAATTGGACCTGCCCCCCACCCCATTCACCACAGAACAATTAATAATCAAGCTGTTTTTCATGTCTTCGTCTTCCTATGTAGAGTAAATAAGGTTCAAAATTAGTGACTTTTTTTATTGTAAATATAATGAAGTGGGATGCTCTTTCTTACATGTAAACACTTTATTTTCCGAACTCTAAGACCAGTAGCAGCTACCTGTGTAACAGTGGGGACACTCAGCACGGCTGGGACGATTCGATTCGTGCCTCATGTTTGATGAAGGTGACGGAATCAGCCGAAGATTGTCGAATGATAATGGGGATACCCTCGGCGGCAGTCGGAGCCTGTAATTCCTTACCTCGATAGGCATTGGTCGAAAACAGATAGCAGAGTAACACCTTATTAGCGTAGATGATTTGAAAAGAGAATTTAGAAACATTGGTCTAACATATTTTTTGTCGCAGTTTTTTCTCCATTTTTCCCCTGCATAATAATAGCTTTAGAAAGAGCAAGAACCACTTAAGGGCTTTTTTGGCCCCGAGAATTTCTGAAAAAATCAAAACTGTTCAGTTTAGGTTGAAAACGCGTATTCACTTAGACTGTTTGTGACCATGTATCTATAAAACATGACGTAATTTTCCCTCTAGTCAATGCATTATGACGTCACAAAATGCGTCATTTTCCCCTTATCATGTAAATTCGTTTAAAAATGGCCAAAAATTGAGGCATTTTTTTCCCCAATATTTCATATAGAGCACAACCTCTGATCCAAAATGTGCAATTACTTAATGAAAGATATATTTCTGAAAATTAAAAAAACATGTTTTAATTTTCGGATCGTGGGCTGTGCTCATCTTTTAATTCTTTGCTAAATGTAGTCAAATACGCATGTTTTCTGCAAAATCCAAGATTATTGCATTTTCTCAAAGCCTGTTTTGCAATACTTGGATTCTCAAAAAGAAATTTTAATATAGGAAATGAAAGCACTAAGTCTCTACTTTATTTTGATATATGAAATGGGAAAAAGGGTGACAGTTTATTAATTGTTATAAGGACAGGGCCATTTTATGCATGAAGTGGCTCTAGCTCTTATACTGTGAAGTCTTAAAGAAATTGGCAATGGCGTAAATTACCAGTACGTACAAAATGAAATAAAACTATATAATACTAGTACTTGTGTTCTTTATAAAAAAAAATCTTCTGACCTCTTTCTCTCTTGTATCCAACACACATAGCAAAACTCAAATTGTTTAGAACATCCTTGTTTTTCCAAAAGTATATAATATAAAAATTGTGACAGACATTTTATTGTTGTTATCATGCGGCGGGCTGCACGTTCTTTTGGACTTTATTTTCCTAGGGCGGAAGCTCCTATTGCGGCGGCGGCTGCCAAGACGATTATTGGGATACCGGCGGCGGCTGCCACGAGACCTATAGCGCCGCCTCGTCTGCGAGTAGTGGTGGTTGTCGTAGTTCTGTCTGAAAATAAAATCACATCTTTGTTAATTTGTATTTGGTCAGAAGAAACTCGAGATGGACGTCCGTCCACTTTTTGAGACGGTGATCGAGCTACCGTTCCCTGGGGATTGTTAATTCTGGATATGGTAAACTCAAACAAATTTCATATTCTTGCTTTACAATATTCACAACTGAGTGTTACATGTAAAAAGTCATTTAACTTGCATGGATGAATTTTTTTAAGGAAACACTATTTTTAAAGCCAAAATTATCAGCTTGCATAAGAAACGTATGAAACGTACATATACATACTCAACATGTAGTAGATGAAAAGCAAATTTTTTAAATGGGGTTGTTCCCTTTCATGAATATTTTATAATAACTATGATAGAAAACACATTTTTAAGGGGGTATGTTCCACTTTGTGATAAGTTTGTCGTAACTTTTAGAGAAAACAAATTTTAAGGGGAATTGTTCCCTTCGTGAATATCTTACCCATACAGTTGCTGCCTTCATACCCTCTGTCACAGTCACATTCGTATCTGCCGCTGCTCCTTAATCTGCAATCTCCTCTGAAATTACACGCAGCCTCACCCTCCAATGGGTTGCAGCCCTCTATAAAGTTAAATTATGACAGGTGTTATCCATGTGTTGTTCAAAATATGGGAAATTTTAACATTGTGATCCTGCATAAAATTACAGGACAAAAACTCTCTCATTTAGATATTTAAGAAACTGAAAGATGATGATAAAATTTCGAAACGTGTGCCATTCTATCGGAGCCCAGTGTCTTTTCTGACATAATTTATTTTATCAAATAAACTCTGCAATATGACTTTGCAGAGTTTATTTGATAAAATAAATTATGTCAGAAAGGACACCAGTTAAGACACTACATTTCCAGACCTTTCAGTAAGCAACCGGTTGACCGAAACATGCAATTTTATTTTGTTGTGTGTATGTTTTTAAAAGCACTTAACAAAGTACTTGTTAGTCTTAAATCTTGAACAGAATAGTCGAATGTTCAAATCGCACCGTTGGTGTTGTGTTATCAGTATTTTGTCAAGACTCATTATTCACTTTGTCCCATTCTAACCAGTTGAAATGCGTGTACTAGATTATGTTCGGAGTAAACTTGTGGTAGAAGGGGTGGGATACGGGGTTAATGACTTTAAAGGACATATGCAACGTAAGTACCTTACCTACTGATATTTTTTCAAGATATTCTCAATTTCAGATTAAAGTGCCATCAGATGTTCATAGACAAAAAATAAGCAGGCATTACCAGGGGTTTTGAAAAAAATATTCATTAATTTTGTTATAACTGAAAAAAGTATACAAAAATTACTAAGCATATATTCCTCGGTGTTTTATTTATCTGAATTTGCTTCAAAATAAGTCTACAACAGTATATGTACACTGTATATATAGACGTCAAAATGTAGCACAAAGATCCCTCAATTAAGTTTTATAACTCTTCAACTCAAAGGAAAAACACGATAAAGCTCAACCTACGTTTCGAATGTCCTTAACCGCTATACTGTATCTCATAAACCGGAAAAGTTCTTCCTACTTAAATTATCTAACTTCACGTAAGTGAAAAAAAAAATGTTTTAGATACTGAGTTGCTTAAAGCAGTACCAGGTTATAAATTATCCCCATATTGAAATTTCATAAAAGAATTGATAATGTTCTTACTTATTATCCAGACAAATTCAATTTTCAATGTAGAAAAAAGCGGATAAAACAGCCCTCTTAAAATGAGCCGTCCTTGTCCAATGCTAAACTTACCAACACAGCCATATTGGGGATCATAATTTCTTCCTCGTGGACATCTGCATCGCCCGGCTTCGCAATATAGTTCTCTATTACGTGCCCGGCATTCTTCCGTTGTGACACACACGATATCAACAACGCCGACGTCTAAGCCAGCGTATGCAGTATGAAGGATAGCCAGAAAGCCAACAGCGAAAAGCAAACGCGTCATACTACCCCAAAACATGGCGTCAGGCTTTCGTGTACGACTTGGGCCCAAGTCATTTTATATACTGCCGGGGAGGGTAGAAGGAGCCACAACCAATGTACGAGCGGGTTATAACTACGTACATATTACAAAATTACATAATGGTATTCATATATTGATAATATGAATATTCATTCGAATGAATCTTCATCTGGATTGACGAGTACTGATATGAGATGTATCTACATAGGTACAACATACTATATAGTGCTTGTGGACAGAAATGTTTCTAGAATGCGAGAGAACAACACCAATTTGAAGTGAATGATGCTATATTCCTTACACTTATTAATTTTTTCACCCCCCCCCCCCCAAAAAAATCTAAAAATCGCTTTACTATATATCAATGATATTTTTACAAGGTTGAATATTTCTAACTTAATTCAAAATCACATTCCAGTAGTTTACACTCTTGTCATTCCATTCAGCCAAGGTGAATTCAATCTAGCCTACTGTCCTCTACAAAAATTTGAATTTTTCAATTAAAATCTATATATGACAATATACAAATTTTAATTGAAAAATTCAAATTTTTGCAATTGTAGAGGACACTACCTATGCTGGATTCCTAAATTTCATAAAAAAATCCTTATATCCTTTACAAAGAAAAATTGCCGGATCCAGCAAATGGTTTAATACAAGCCCCTAAATTACAAAAATGTCAACTGCCATAAAAGAGAATGTCAAACGATTGTTGTATACTATGTACAATCATTCCTCGTGGTGAGTTAGGAAGGGCTTTTTGATACAGTCGACAACTGCTTCATCAATTAAAACAAAAATAAAAGTTGGAAATTTAAGTAATTTAAGTATGTTATGAATGGTCGTCAACAAAATTACTTTGAAAAAAAAGTGTCAGACTCTGTGGTACATTTATTTTAAGCTCACCGGGATATATCCTATCGATATAAGAATAAGAATATAACCATTGTTAATCGACAATACGTCGTTGATATGTCTAAATGTCGAGTTGAAGGCCACAGAAAGTGTTTTCTTCTTTTCACGTTTAAGACTTTGAACAAATTCTGTTTCATTATAAATAAAAAGTAAATCTGCTGTAAGATAACAGGGCACAATTTTGGTACCCATGGGAATTCCTACAGATTGTTGGAAGACCTTGCTTGTCTCCCAAATCCACATAAATATTGTCAATCAGAAACTCAAGCATCTTTTCGATGTCAACTTCAGAGTGCTTATGTGTACAATCAGAATGCTTTTAACAAAATAATTTTGCAAATCACCAAAAACAAGGTAAGTACATAAAATTTACGAGTTCCATTTTTTATTAAAAGAGCAGATATTAATGAGCATGGACTTTAATTAATCGGGGGGAATGGGAAAGTTGAAAAGTTTTCATGCTGTTACTGTTGTTGATTTTGGAAAAAATTCAAATTTCCAAATTCAAATTTCCAAAAGTGTTTTGGAATTTGTAAGTATCCACATCTGATTTACGCCACTTCTGGTGCACAGTACTCCTGAAACTTCTCGTTCTGTTTTAACGGTGTAAAATACGACATTTACAGACTTGTTATAAAATGCCTTGTAAATTAACTTTTTGGACTTTGTGTAATTTTTTATAAAAACTTTTCATATATTTCGACAAATGTGATAAATTATAATCTTGCTAACTCCCTCAATGATATACTTTTTAACTGTTTTATTATACCGATACAAATAGAGGATTACGAATGGCGGGGAATTAGCTTCAAGTCTAACGCACGGGGAATTAGTCCATTAACATATTAGACCGATACGTAAAGGATTACGGATAACCGGGGAATTAGCTTCCGCAGCAGGGATTACCTCATTTAACTAACGCATGGGGAATTAGTCCATTCACTGAGATTTCTAAGGAATTATTCACATTTTACTGCCTTACTCTTATATAAGAAAATCAGTAGAGGTATAATAATGACACTTAATCTTTCATCTTTAAATCTATTATATACATGCTGCTTAAATGTCACCACTCGCTCAATAATTGTTTGATACTTGATTTCTACATACTTTTGTGAATCCTTTTATTTTACTCTGCCTCTGTTCAACTACAGGTATGTGTGATTTGTTGTTAAAAATTATAGACCTACGGTGCTGATACATCCCAAACTCATGTAAAAGTATGTCCCTTGCTGATTCTATATAAAAGTACCAAATTAGTAACTCGTGTTTGTGTCTTGAGGTTTTAAAGAATCTGAGTTCAACAGTCAGGGGAAAGCTCACGGTTGACCCAGGATCAGTGGTAGTTGGACAAAAACATCCCGTAAAAATATTTTAATATTTCAGTGAGAAGTGAAGAAAAATGATTAGTAGAACATTTACTGGAACCCGCTATGTATCATTATTTGTAAGGGTTTTTGTGACGTTTTGGAATTCAATATAAAAATATATGGTATTTCATTTTATCACATGAAGGTTAACTTTTTAATTTAGATACTGTAAACCAACTTTTATTCTCGTGTGAGAAATTTTCGCGAGAGCTTCGTCATCGCGAATATTTCTCACCGCGAGCAAGACCTTATAGTATTTGTGTCTACTAACTACAGATTCAAAAAGGCTTGCTCGCGAAAATTAATCGTCGCGCACTAGTAACCCCCTAGTAAATCACGAAATAAAGTCGTCGCGAATATAAGTTGATCTACAGTAGTTTATTTTACTTAGTTCGTTTTTCGACATGAACTACTAGTACTTGCCATATTCCTCTAGTGAAGGGATTTGTAGACGATAAAGTAAATAGTGTAGGTATTAGTGAACATAAATCACTGTTCTTTATATGTTCGATTAAAAGCTCATGACATGTTTCTTTGTTATTAAATGTAGTACAGCCTGTGAAACACCAAAAAACAAGCACTTACTTGAACTTCCAAAACAAAAAAAAAAAAAAAACAAAAAAAAGACAATCTAACCCAAGAACACATAGCTGGGTAAGGAACTTAGAAAGCAAGGGGGAAAGTCAGGTTATCCAAACCTGCAGAGGAATACACAGAGGTTTCTGATTTAGGGGACTAGGCCCCAATCTACTTTTAGGTATAAAGTTAAGTGAATTTGAATTGGTCGAAACTCTACAAGATATGGTTTTGGTGTGTTGTTTATCCTGCTGTGATTGGTGAAGTTTTTTTTCCCTACTTGCTTGGGAAGTTATTAATATTTTTTCTTTACACTTCACATCAATGTCCTTTAATGCAAGGCTTGCCCTAGGTTATATATATCAGAATTATTGAATGGTAAATATGTTGTTTTGCAATGCATACATAATAAACTTATAAAGTTACATGGTTTTATTAATATATTAAAGTAAAAATTTCATGTTATTTTATACTTCTCCATAAATTATTGAATTGCAAATATGTTGTTTGGCAATGTACACATACTTATCATGTTCCATAGTTTTATTAATCATGTTAATATACGAAAGTAAAAATACCATGTTTTTTAAAAATATTTCCCATCAATATAGATTGTAGATAAATAATGATCAACCAAATAGTGTTTATCTTATCAAATTATTATTTATACCGGTAGATACTTCTTATTAAAAAAAACCCAGGAAAATACTTTTTCTATTTTTTTTGCCCCAACTATTAGTCAGAAATAAAGTAAACTAGATGTACTGTGAGCATGAGCTCACTAAATGATACCCCCCCCCCCCCGCCTCCCATATGGTTATAACTGGTGAAATTGTCCATGTTTTCCTGTGGCCGGGAAACCCAAAATATGTGTCAGATCAAAAAGTAAAATAGGAGGTGCACAATGGCAATATGTAATAAAGATTCTGTGAAAGTTTAATTAAATTTCACTCAGTGGTATAAGAGGAGTTGCGGATAAGAGATGGGTACCCTAAAGCGTAACAGACGGACGGACGGACGGCTGGACGTACAGACGGACGGACGGAATTAACGATTACTATATACCCTCCCGCTTTTCAAGCGGGGGATATAATAAAACTAGAGGTACTGTGAGCAATGAGCTCACTAAATGATACCCCCGCCTCCCATATATATAAATATAATGACAAACTAGAGGTATTGTGAGCGATGAGCTCACTAAATGATACCCCCCGCCTCCATATAGTTATAATGGCAAAGTCCATGTTTTGCTGTGGCCGGAAAACCCAAAATATGTGTCGGATCAAAAAGTAAAATAGGAGGTGCACAATGGCAATATGTAATAAAGATTCTGTGAAAGTTTCATCAAATTTCATTCAGTGGTATGAGAGGAGTTGCGGATAAGAGATGGGTACCCAAAAGCGTAACAGACGGACGGACGGACAGACGGAAGGACGGACGGACGGACAGACGGACGGACACGGACAGACGTACAGAAAAACTTAATACCCTCCCGCTTTTCAAGCGGGGGGTATAAATATGTGTCGGATCAAAAAGTAAAATAGAAGGTTCACAATGGCAATATGTAATAAAGATTCTGTGAAAGTTTCATCAAATTTCATTCAGTGGTATGAGAGGAGTTGCGGATAAGAGATGAGTACCCCAAAGCGTAACAGACAGACAGACGGACGTACAGACGGACGGACAAACCGATTACTATATACCCTCCCGCTTTTCAAGCGAGGGGTAAAACAGGTACTGTGGGCAATGAGCTCACTAAATGATAACCCCGCCTCCCGTATGAATATAATGGCATTGTCCATGTTTTTGCTGTGGGAAACCCAAAATATGTGTCGGATCAAAAAGTAAAATAGGAGATGCACAATATGTAATAAAAATTCTGTGAAAGTTTCATCAAATTTTATTCAGTGGTATGAGAGGAGTTGCGGATAAGAGATGTGTACCCCAAAGCGTAACAGACGGACGGACAGACATAACGATTACTATATACTCTCCCCCTTTTCAAGCGGGGGGGGGGGGGTTATAAACAGAAGGTGCTTACAGCATCAATATCTGTAATTTTCACAATAAACTGTGTTGTGCATGAAATCAATCATGTGCACTTTTGGAACGTACTACGAATACGTATAAGTACGTCATACTACTAGAGCGCTTAAGGTCATTCGTCCAATTTCTGAATCTATAACACCTTCTTTCTATACCATCTTACATATTTTCAGTTTGGGGAGGTCGGATATATGGGCGGTCTATTTTCGTCATTTTGTAAACATTCAACACCAAAATGCCAACGGTATGCTAATGGGCTACTAACTCTTCCTGGGACTGGTTTAGTATAGTTTGCTTGCAGTAATGTAAACGTTGTGGGCACTAGAAGAATTGTTATTTGTAGATGGTCCCCGTGGTATTTATTTTTTTTATTCCCGTAAAAAATCTATAAAGATATATTTTTGTGAACCATAAAATTCCTCAAGTTTAGTAATATTTGCAATAACATTGTGTCAAATCATTTTCAAATTATCGCTACACACACGAGACTGCATGCAAAGGATGAAATATATGGAGATAACGAACAGTATTTAAGCTCAAAAGCCCTTTAAACGATTCAAATGTTGGAGTAGAGCAATCATCAGAGAAGGGATCAGGTGCTATGGAGGAGTGAGCATCCCCTTCCGACCGGTCACACCCGCCGTGAGCTTTTCATGATCGGGAAATAACGGGAAAAACGAATGTTAAGAAAACAACTCAGTGGGTATGTAAACTATCTCATCTTCTAAGCTGACTTTATTGTAAGAAATTGATCATTTAGAATTATTTTGTGGCAATTTTATAATTTGATTTAAGCTATACATTTAAAAGTATTTCCTTTGAAAAATAAACTAATTATATTACTTTCATTTTTTAATTTAAAAACCATGAAATTCTTATGATAGATGTTAAGAGACAATTTTCATATTCTGTTGTTGTTTTATGTAACAATTTTGGGCTATATAATTGCCAGCCATGACTCCTCAAATTTGTTGCTTACAAACAATCAAGAGTAGAGTTTTACAGTAATCTCGCTTAGTATTTTTTATACAAAGCCATGGTTCTTCGAAAATTCAATTTGTAATTATCATTTGATATGGGCCTGTATATAATTATTCATCTCACTTTTGAATATGCAATTAACAAAATATGCTTGATTTTACGATATTTTCGAATTTCATCCTGTATAAGATAAGAAAATCCTTCTGCATTAAAAAATTCTGACCCTCTTAAGATATATCAGACAGGTGTGAACAAACAAGACACGTGCACCAGAAAAGGTCACTATATGGCCTTGAACTTGAGAGTCTGAACGTTGCTTGTAGTCATATACGCATCAATATTCATTAGATGTATTAATGAAGGTTCAATATATTAAGGATAGTATTTTACAGGAGAGCTTTGACACATTCGTGTCCCTCTTGATTGATCGATACGGAAAGAGAGCACCTTAAGGTAGACTAACGACGTGTAGAAAATATCCAGCGTGTTTTTTAAAACTTGTGTCGGTCTATCCCACAGCAATCCTATTGGTAGAGGAACTGTGTACAGTAGATGGTGTTTTCCTAATTATTCTGTTGTTTGGAGAGTCCCATTATTTCCTATATAAAGAAGGGGAATTTGAATACCGAGTACTTTGAAAATCAGTGGGCACTCAAAGAAATAAATTGAAATAATTTTTTGGATACTTTATTTCCAGATCATGACAAGGAGCACGCATCTGGTGTGACCGGTTAGCAGAGGATGCTTACTCATGCACGGCACCTGATCCCACCTCTGATGTTTCAGAGGTCCGTGTTTGCTCTGCTCCTGATTTGTATTGTTTTAATGGAATTCTGAGCTTGAATACTGATCATGTTATCTCCATATAATCATGAAAATACCAGAGAAGCCTGATTTGACTTTAGTAGTAATCTTGTTAAGAATATTTTAGTAACTTTTGCATTCAATCACTTGTTTTGGAAAATATGATTTTACTACAAGTGAGCCTTTCTGGTCGTAGTAATGACCTTAAAAAGTTTCCTAACTCATTGACCTCAATGAAAAAAATAGAACTCTTTAATTACTTCTTAAACAACATACATGTATTTGTGAACAGTTTTACTGAAGTAATAAGATTCGAACACACTCTATCCAGAAAAGGCAGCAGTTCCTAGTATCCCAGCGGCTACTAGCGCGAGCACCGGAATACCTACTGCTGCCGCTAGAACTGGAAGTGCACCGCTTCGTCTTCGAGTGGTGGTTGACTCTGTTGTGGTGGTAGTCATGGTTGTACTGATTCTTTCTGTGGAATGAATTAAGACAGTTTTAATCTTAATTTCAAAACATAGGTAATCAAAGATCACGAAGCTCGACTGGATATTATGCAATTATGACTTCAGTGTAGGTCGATATGTAGTTATAAGAACTCATGGCATATTCTGGGCATTGAAAAATATTGGCTGAAAAACAGCATCTGACACTTGGCCAGGGTAAAATACCACAAAGATGCAACATGCATCCTTGCAGCCTTATCCAATAAAGAGGATCGTGTTTTACAATCAAATTCGTCAAAATCCTCAGTTAAGCTTTAGCGCTTTCATTTTCAGATTGAAAATGAAAGCGCTAAAGCTTAACTGAGGATTTTTGTGTTTTCTTTTTAATTTTTTTTAATATTGTTATCCAATTACTGAGACATTATTTAAATTTTGGATATATATATATATATATATATATATATATATATATATATATATATATATATATATATATATATATATATAAAAATATCATATGAAGTTTCATCTGACTGCGTTGAATAAAGTGCAAAGCCCCTGGGGAAAATTATTTTGTTTTTGGTCAATAAATCTAAGCATAATCTAATCTACGCGGCGAAAATGATTTCTCTTGGCTGAATAAATTTAAATCCTCGGGGAATATGATTTTTCTTGGCTGAATAAATTTAAGCCCTCGGGTAAAATGATTTTTCTTGGCTGAATAAATCTTCTTATTTCCCTCACGATCATACTTGCAATACATGTCATGTACATATCTACAGTCCAGTGTTTATATGTAATGGAAAAAACGGTTACTGAAAATGAATATGCATGCTCATTTTAGCATAAAAAAGTTTATAAAATCAAGTAATTTTAAGAAATATTTACCGTCGCATTGTACGCCTTCAAATCCCTCCTCACAGACACATTCCGGGAAATAAAATTTCACTTGACATTTTCCATTATTACATTCGGAACCATCGCCAGCGATATCACATGTTGCTGAAAAATAACAATCAATGTTAGTTATCAATCCCTCATACAAATAAAATAAAATCTGATATTTGAAAAAACAACAACAGATTTCCCCAAAGTATTTTGTGAAAATAGTTCGCATATTAATTTCAAATTTCTTTTGCGATTCTTTGTATTATATTTCTGAAACATTTATATGTACATTCTATATTTCTCAAATTTTGACTAGTCACGGTAGACATCGGCATAATATTAAAGATCCCTCACTGCCCAATGGCGTAAGTATCGAGTAAATTAAACGTCAAAATTTGAAGCCTTGGCGACGTCTCTCTATAAGTGAAATATTCTCGAATGGGAAGTAAAACAATATAATAATCAATCAATCGATCTAAATAATGAGAAGAAAACTCGTGCTGAGACCTTCAACTCGACATTTCGATATATAAACTAGAATATACATGTATATCGAATGTTTTATTGACTATAGACATAGGGGCCAACTCACAACTAAATTGTATGACAAGTGACATCACTGTACTGGTACTGATTCTTTATTTAAAAAATAGGTAGGACAATTCCCAGTTTAAATCTAGGCGTGGCATTCTCGACGTTACATAATTAGCACCTGAAATTTAATTACACAGCTTTCCTTCACTGTTGAAATATACATGGGATAGAAATTTGGGCAAATGCCAATTAGTGTATCGAATAACCAATAACATTGTTCGTCCGGCAAAGAGGTGGAGCTTAAGTCATCTCATCGTTGTAAACAACAATTTAAAGTTCCTGATGTAATTAATAACCATTCTCTGTAACCACTTAAACTTCGTTGCCACGCATGGTCACCGATTTTGATGAAACTTCACCCATGCTTAGTACTTGACACCAGAAACAAATATCAAACAAAATTTCGTTGCTAAGTGTCTCGGTTGCTATGGCAACAGCCGGAAAAGTTTGAAAAATCGGATTTTCAGCCACTTTAAATCTTGACTGTGGCTTAATAAAAACTAGAAAAAGCAAACAAACCATTCTCACAAAAACATGACACCTTGATGTTACTTATACTGTAAAGAAACTGTTTAGAATATATCTCTAAGTAAGTGGTAACCAAGGGTACATTTGGAATACATTTAAAATGCCGAAATATGCTGAAAAACACTCCATATTCACTAATGGTAGGTGTTACATGCTCAAACTCAATCAACGACTTAAGAAAAACAATGAAAATGTTTGACCTTAAGTATATAAGTATAAGCAATATTATTCCATAAATAACTTTTATGGTTGCCATGGTAACACAGTGTAACCATGCAAAACCAGTAACTAAGATTGGGTTAATGCTACTGTCTTGAGGAAAAACATGAAAATTTAAGACTGGCAAATATACATCCTTAGGACCTTGCAACACCAAAACCATAAGAAATATTGGGTATAATTGCTACTTTGCAGTGTTACCATGGAAACAAAGTACCAGTGCTTAAAAGTGAATTATTATTCGCTGCATTAAGAATCAAATTGCCATATAATCAAGAAACAAATTAAAGGACTCAGCTTGAATAATACTTATCTGTTAGAACTGAAGTTGAATATCATATATTATAAAATTTCGAAGAAAACAACACTGTTGCTATGGTTACCAAGAAGGGAAAATATTCGATTTTGTGAACTTTATATCAATATTAAACCCTGTGTGCCAGCTTCTTGCATCCAGTTAGAGATTGGATGATAGTCAAAATTAAAAGTCAGGTCAGCTGTTAATAAATATCAATCATAAAAGTTTTGGGAATCTACATTTGAGGGTACGTATCCAAGGTAACAAAATATATTTCAGATTTTTAAGCGTATTTTTTCTGCTTATTTCCATAGCAACGCTCTATTTAAAACTAAATTTTTTTAAATAATAAGGATCACACCAACATCTTTAAAAATTGATCATTAGTTATGAGGAAATGTGCTTTCTTAAAAGATAGGATCAGATTTAAACAAACAGTGTGTAAATATGAAGGCTCTCTGTTCTACATATTGTATAAAAACCTTGGCAACCATTGCCAACCAAACTGAAATATCATAATTTGTTCTTGGTATATGTTTCAAGGCTCTTTTCTCTATTATTTGATCACATTTAATCCTATAATTGCTTTTTATTTTTACGTGTATGACTTTATAAAATTCAGTGAATATTTTTTTTACTTTTAAATAATTTGTTACCATAGTAACGTATGTAATAGTTGATTTACCAAACCTGTTTATCATGCATTTGAGGCAACAGGCCTTCAACTTTTGGAAACATATATTGTTTGCTTTGCCGCAAATGTTAATTATGGGGCTCTAAACATGGTAAAAAATGTCATTTTTTAAACTTTTAGACATGTTGCCATGGTAACTATAACACATAGCAACCAATTTTTGCCTGATTTTAGTTAAGGGTATCAAAGACTTTTATCATAGAGAGTTTGGAGAAATTCTGAGACTATGCGTGCCACAGCTCCTATATAAAATTTCAAGTCATTACAGAGAATGGCTCTTAATTTCTTAACCAATGGGAATCTACTCGCCATTTAACAGACGCTAATTACGTAGCGCCGAGAATGCCACGCCTTACTGAAAGTCCAAGCTTACCTGGGAATGGTTATAAAAGAAAATCACAATGCTCAATTGAATAAGTTAATTTGGTAAAAAAAAAAAGAAAAAAAGTTCCAAACAGTCCATGTTATTTGTATTAATTAACCTATCAAAACAGTCTATTCCAGATGGAGAAAATTCAACTCTAGTTGGAAAAATTTCAACCTACCAAAACAACCTGTACTCGAGTTCGGCAGATTTACATGCAGAAGTTAACCTACAAAAATAGCCTACTCTATAAATGGACCGAATTCAGCCCACCCAAAACAGCCTATATTCTTGGTGTGCATCATTCAACCTACCAAAACAGCCTACTCCAGAGGGACAAAATTCATTTCCAAAAGAAAAAAATCCTTCTTTACACCGACATTGTTCATTACAAAATGAATTAGCTCCGCAATCCGCATCACTATTGCACGAAACAACCCCCATTGCTAGGATCTGTTGAACAATCATGGAAAGAAAGACGACAAAATGAAACAGCATCCGCTGACACCGCTTCATTGTGTTATAGACAGAAATTGTAGAGATCTGATGGATATTGCGCCAATGTGAAACTCTTTCTTTATGCTTTACAAGGAATTTTTACCACATATTATGAAATAACATACATCCACACAAACATTCTACATATATATATGTAGTACTCAGTGCCCTACATGTATAAGAGAGTATCATTTCATGTTATTATACAATCCCAGATTAATGACTTTGTGATTTATAAACCACTCAATAACAAAACTAGATAGAGGTACTGTGAGCAACGAGCTCACTATATGATACCTCCCCCCCCCCCCCCCTCCAATATGATTATAATGACAAGGTCCATGTTTTGCTCTTGGAGACCCGAAATAAATGGTTGATCAAAAAGTAAAACAGGAGGTACAAAATGACATTATGTGATAAGGAATCTGTGAAAGTAACATTGAATTTTATTCAGTGGTATATATAGAGGAGTTGCGGATAAGGGATGGTACTCTTGCTGAGACCTTTAACTTGACATTTCGATATATAAACTAGTATATACATGTATATCGCATGTTTTATTGACTGTAAACCATAGGGGCCAAGCGAGATCACTGTAGTGGTACTGATTCTTTTTTTGGAATGAAAGTTAAACTCTTTATTTAAAAAATAGGCCAATTAGTGTATCGAATAACCAATAACATTGTCTCGTCCGGCAAAGAGGTGGGGCTTAAGTCGTCTCATCGTTGTCAATAACAATTTAAATTTCCTCTTAACCAATGAGAATCTTTTTGCCAGAAATTTACACAGCATTCCTTCACTGGAATGGTTTTAAAAGAAAACCCAATGCTCGATTGAAGAAAATGTAGTTTATTTATAAATTGGTAAAAAAAAAGTCCCAAACAGTCCATGTTATTTGCCAGTCTATTTAGTGTATCGAAAATAACCAAAACATAACATTGAGTTATCAAAAAGTCCGGCAAAGTTTTAAAATTGGAACTATGTAGACTGTGCCTTTAAATTTTTTATGGAACGTATAACAACAAAAAATCGTTGTCAATAACAATTTTAAATTTCCTCTTAACCAGTGAGAATCTTTTTGCCATTTGACAGACGCTAATTACGTAGCGCCGAGAATGCCACGCCTTACTGAAAGTCCAAACTTACCTGGGAATGGTTTTAAAAGAAAATCACAATGCTCAATTGAAGAAAATGTAATGCATTTGTAAGTTTGGTAAATAAAAAAGAAGTTCCAAACAGTCCATGTTATTTGTAGAATTTAATCTACCAAATCAGCCTATTCCATATGGAGAAAATTCAACTCTAGTTGGAAAAATTTCAACATACCAAAACAGCCTACATACTCGAGTTCGGCAGAATTACATGCAGAAGTTAACCTACAAAAATAGCCTACTCTATAAATGGACCGAATTCAACCTACCCAAAACAGCCTATATTCTTGGTGTACATCTGACATTCAACCTACCAAAACAGCCTACTCCAGAGGGACAAAATTCATTTCCAAAAGAATAAAATCCTTCTTTACACTGACATTGTTCATTACAAACTGAATTAGCTCCGCAATCAGCATCACTATTGCACGAAACAACCGCGGGTGCTGGGGTCTGCTGAACAATGTTAAGAAAGACGACAAAATGAAACAACATCCGAAGACACCGCTTCATTGTGTTTTAGATATAAATTGTAGAGATCTGAAGAAAGTCTTTCTTTATGCTGTTCAAGTAATTTTTACCACATATTATGAAATTACATACATCCACACAAACATTCTATAGACATGTATACATGTAGTACTCAGTACCCTATAAGAGCGTTTCAGTTTATGTTATTACACAATCCTAGATTAATGACTTTGTGATTTATAAACCACTCAATAACAAAATAAATGTCTAATAATATATATTCACTTGCGTTGCATGCTTTATATTATTGAAACATGAAACTCTTAAATTAAGAACCTTTTTATATTTTGTTTTCATTGAGGGAACAAAACTTTTTAAAAGCTTGAAGTTTAGTTTTTTTCTTCTAAATTTAACCAGATTTGTTTTTGAATTAAATAAAAATAATCAGGAAAGATGAACTCTGAAACGATCGATCTAATGTCTCTATTAAACGTCACACATGACTAAGATACATTGTAAGACCATCAATTTTTTTTCGGATCGAATAATTTTCTATGAAGACAAAGTTAATTCCGCTCAAAATTTTAAAAATCTTATAACAACCATGCACATTAGATGGATTGAAGTCATTCCCAGATGAATAAAAATTCTTCTCACATTGGCGCGCTTTATCTGCGTAATACAAAACGTGTTGGCTCCACAGTCTTCATTTCCATTATATGGACTTTGCTGAGTGAGGGGTATCAGGCCCGTAGGAAGCAATTTCAGTTGGGGGGCATATAACAAACAAAAAAGGGTCATCAGACAGTTTTATTGAAGTTATTGAGGGGACACGAACATATGCATGTACTGTAGCTATATTTTCTATGGTATACTATATATCGGCAAAATAACTGGGGGAGGGAGTGGACACCCTCCCCCCTCCAGCCCCCACCGTAATTTCTGTGTAGATTCAGCTGGGTAGATATTTGGACAGACGAAATTGCTTCCGACGCCTATGAATATTACACATAATAATCATCATATTATATATATTCACTCGAATTCAATGAACCATACTGTAATTTAAGAAATTAATAATATATTTTCTCTGTTTTAAATATTGATAATACTGTTTTACCAGAGATTAAAATATCAAATGTGTTTTATAATAAATGTAACACATAATGTGTGTTCCATTTGATTTGATTACATATAAGAAGAGTTAGTATGCTCTATGTACGAACCATTTCTAAAACGAGGCAAGCTATTGACACACAAGTTGATGCACAAGAATAACAACGGTCTCGCTTAAAGTAATCATTTCATAAGTTCTGTCAACCCTGTCAACTAGTACAATTCATCATTTAGACGAGTGCCGACTGCCGTTTTCTATAAGAATTCTTAGACCAAAGATTATAAAAATGCGAATTTTCGGAATCTGTTAAAATTGATTACAAAAAACATGTGGAACATTCGCAATTAATGTTTTTATATTATCAAAGAGGGAAAATCTATAAATATTCTTGACGTTGTTACCAATATAGTTTACCATATACATGTCGGCAGGGTGCCCCCTTCAAAATAATTACATCGGGATCGAGATCACGCGGAAACTATATATTGGGTTTGTTTATTTAAATTAAGAAATAAAACACAACTGAATTTTTAGAAAGTGATAAAGTATCTACAGAGTTTTGTATGAATGAAATACTAATGTTATTTGTTGTCATAGATTAAAAAAACTGAAATGTAGATAAAATGTTCGGGCGCACTTTGTTTTACCCGCACTTCCTGTTTACCTAGCAACATAAAATGGCGACCTTCTTTCCATTTGGTGATGGATGAATTTTCTTTATTTTCTTGGATTATTCGGTAGTTGTCATTTTGTAAAAATTTTAGACTAAAAATTTTAGAAGCAATTTCCCGATTTTGTTGAAAAAATGGCGGCAATCGAAACCCAACCAGCATTTAATCCAACAATGACAACCACACAGGCCATCATGCCCGATAAACCACGGGTACCTATTGTAGCTCATATTATCACAGACGATGACATTGGTATTTTGAAGGTAAGGAACATCCAAAATGTACAATGTTTTAATTTATTTTACAGTTCATGTAAATATGTGCACTCTCATCGTCAAGTGTGCACTCGTATAAATTTCCCATTTTCCTTTGACTTTCAACAAAATATTTATTCTATGACAGGGAACAAAGCTCCAACCCATCAACTTAAGCAGAGTTGTAAAGCTTCTCACAGATCCACACTCAGTAAGTTTTATGATATAAAAAAATTGTATTAGTGTCATCTGATGCTTTTATTTGTAGAACTTTGCATTTTCCAATCAAAGATAAAAATATATCATAATCACATAGTATGTTTGGAGTGCATGTTTTGGAGGATAACAGTTCAAAAATTAAATCTTATACAGATAAATTTTTATAGAGATTGCGTACATTTTATTTATTGATGACATTTGTTTGCGTAAGATTGAATGGCTTTATTATTTATTTGCAGGTACACTTGGTAGACAGACACATTAATGCACTGCAACGTCTGGTGAAACATTATCAGAAGGGATTTGTATCCTTTAGACTTGAAGAATAGTTTTGTAATATGTAGTCTGACTTAAGTGGGAGTAATGAGGCAGAATTTTATTAATTCTGATGACCTTTACACTTCAGCAAAGGAAAAATAATGATAAACTCTTTACAGAACCATTTCAAAAGATACCTGATTAATAGTCACTGTTGTAAAAGTTTAGCATCTTTAAAATGTTTAAGGAAATTACAGCTATTAATTTATTTTTTATATTCAAATGTGGATTCTTTTTTATTTTATCAAATGATTAATTTAAACAATTTGAACTAAGTGGATTCAGCATCTATTTCTGCATTTCTTTCCTTAATGATGATGTAGCCCATGAAAGATTTGGTTCAGGTTTTTAAGATCCTCAATGTGTGTTCTGACCGAGTGGCTGGACAAGATGAGGAGCCATTGTTTGAAAAACTTATCTGTGATATTCTGAAAATCTGCAGTCTGCCATTTCTGAAGGAGAAATCGTCAGATGAACTTGTTTTTGAACAGATTGTCACAGAGTCCGTCTCACAATTAGGTGAGTCTTCTTAAGATAGTATACATGTATAATGTTGTTGAACATTTTATATGTACAGTGTAGTCGACAAATGTAGATATACCGGTACACAGATAAATTTTGAAATAAACTTTTCAATTATACTTTAATATATTGTGCTTTGTATCAACTCTATGGAGTCCTTTTCATCATATGTATATTATATCTGTGAATCTAAGTTTTACTTTATTGAGTAAAAAAAAAAAAAATGTGAAATTTTCATTTACAACATATATTATGGAGGAAGACAAAGGGTTTATAAATTACTTCTGATCTTTCTTTAAGAGTTATTTAAGAGTTGCTTCTCCTTGTAAACTTCTATGTTATTTTATTTAAGGATATCTAATGCGAGTTCCATCCCGAGACATTAGGAGACAGATTTGTGACACTCTTGTTGCATTTTACAGTGAAAAACCAACCAATCAAGATGTACAGAGTAAGTTGATACAACTTAATTTATTTTAGTATCTTAGCTATTATAGACTATGAAGTATTTAGGAAGATCGAAATATTAAAAAGTAAGCAGACTCCAGGTGCAATATAAAAGCATTAAAAAATCAAAAGTGTTTCATTTATAGTTCAATAATATTCCAAAAATAGAGAAGGTGATGTTAATTAACTGTGTAAAGGTTCATTAATGCGGTTTTAGTTTTATGACAGTTTGCAACTTTTTTTGTAATCCCTGCGTATACTTTTTCACAGAGCTCCAAGCCACAAGTTTATCATACAACAAGAGAGTGATTGAAAACAGTGATGTCTCAGAAACATTAGTCAAAGTAAGACATCTTATTTTATAACATTTTTCAGTAATTCAGTAAATTAATTTTTTTTTCATTGGAAGTTAATTAGCAGCTGATAAAAATTGATAAAAAAAGTTTTGAGTAAGGAAATTTTTATCAATGTCAAAAGGAGAGGGCAACCAAACAAGTTTTTGAAGATGGCTTTACATGTATATTATTTTTATGACATGTTGCTTAGCAGCTTTTTATAAAAAATGTTGGAAAAGTTTTTATCACAGACTGATGTTTGCTTGTTTTTTTTTTTTCAGTCCTTGGCATTGCTTGAAAAAGATGTGGACATAAAACTAGCCGTACTAAATGTACTCCAACATTTCTCTAAAGGCTCAGGTAATAAAACTAGCCGTATTAAATGTACTCCAACATTTCTCTAAAGGATCAGGTAATAAAACTAGCCATACTAAATGTACTACAACATTTCTCTACAGACTCAGGTAACAAAATAAGCACCGAGTATTTATAAAAATATACTTGAATAAAATTATATAACTTACATATACCGGTATATGGAAAAAGGAATTTATGATATTGTGGTTTAACCAGGTAACTTAATTTGCACTGTACTATGAAATACTTGATATGTCATCATATCACAACCAAACATCATTATTTTAAACTTAATGAGATAGAGGGAAAAAAAACTTTGAGATATGGAAGGGTTTTTGGGGTAAGAAACATCAAAGAAAAGTGGATATGATGTCCAATTCACTTCAGCATATCCATAATATTTAAGATATCAATGTTTAAGATAGAAAAGTTCAACTGTATTTGTGCTTTGAAATTTTTCTTCTGTCCATTGTAGCTAAAAATTGTGACCAGATGCTGAGAGCTGATGCGGCCACCACAATCTGTTCACACTTGATGGATTCTGACCCCACAGGTCAACTCCTGTTCCGCTCCGTTGAAATCCTATGGAATATGTTAGAAAATGGAGACCAGGGGCAGCTTGCTGAACAACTTAACAATTTAACCTGCATCAGGTATAGCTGTAACCTATATAATGACTATTGTAAACTAACTTTTATGTGGGACTTTTTTTGTACATTCTTCTGTTTTGAATCCAAGTGCTACTTCTAATTTTTGTGACTGAACGATTGTCCTCATAAATGAATAAGAGAATAACTGGTTCACAAAGAAAAATATTGTGTCAAAGAAGGTTGCAAAAATCACAGATATTTCTCGGTCCTGAATAAAAGTTGGTTTACAGTATATGATCTTATAAAATGAATGATTTAGATGTCAACATGATTGATTGTGAATTTCAAACACAATGCATTGATAGTCAAGTTACAATGTGAAAATAAAATTATAGAAAAGTAACAGTGCATGTGATATGTTTTATTTGAGCTTCCTGAATTTATGGGACAATTAATGTGTGACAAAATCAGTAGATACACATTTTGAAAATGAATATCACTTTTAAAAACAGTGCTGAAGGTTATTTGATCAATTTTTTTTTTCTAGAAAATAAATTGATGTATTGTAGAGACTGCATGAAATTCAAACTTTTTACCTATTAACCAAACATTTTAAGCATTAGCGACATAATGATGAGAAATGTGAAAAAAATAAATTGCATGTTCTTCAAATTCAGCCTGCATATAAATATTCCTTGTAAAACATCTATATTATAGCTTCATAGAAATGTAGATTTATGATGTCTTTGTTTTACACAGTCAGTTACGGGATGCGTTTGTGTACCAGTTAACGCAGAGTTATAGTCATTACGGGAGACAACTCCGTAATGACCTTCTGGTCATAACCATGCTGGTGGCCTCCAAATGTCCAAACGCCCCCTTTGTAGAAACAGGATTCGCCAAACAACTCACATTGTTTGCAACATTCCAAGAAGGCTGGTATTTTTTAAAAAGAATGTAATAACGATTGTCATAATGTGTTTCTAAGATGAGAAAAAAAATTTGTGTGACATAGTGCTTTCCCACATTTTACTCTGGTGAAATAGATTTGTTGCCGTGTAAATAATTTTTCTTTCCCTCTGGTTAATTAAGTATGAATTGGTTCATATTGCCACAAGACATTTATCATTGTTTGAATATTTTTGGGTGAAAATATGAAGACAACTTGTATATGCAGCCAGCTAATTTCTGTCAAATCTATCATACTTCATGTCAAATGATTTATTTAACACTTGGGAGGTACCAAGCATTGTTTGAGCATAAACATTCAATATGGCAGACTTATCTTCATTTATTAATTATGAGATTTGGTGTCATCTTCTTTTTAAGATTCTGTATTTTGTTTTTAAGCTAATTACAACTCAGATTCAGACATTGCAACTAACAAAGCCGTTAATTAGTAACTGTAAGGGTGTCAAGGCCAATTTGTAATATGATTAAGGAGGAAGAGTTATTTCCCTTCTTTTCTAAAATTATATGATTTTGTTTAACATTTGTTTTAATCACTGTCTTTAAATATCAAGAGCAAAACTATGGTACACAACTACACTTTTATTAAAAAAATTCTTTTACTACCATGGGTGGAATATATTATGATTTACAAAAGTTTGGTGAGAGTGCATTGTTAATTCTTATGACAACCTGCTGGAATAAAAAAAAGTTTCCAGGCCTATATATAGGTATCTTAGTGATGCTAGGAAGAAAAGAGACATAAAATGTATTCTTCATATCAGTGAAAAGTCACAAAAAAGAGATATAAAATTCATTTTTTATTTCAGTGAAAAGTCACAATGCATTGGTGAAGCATTTAAAGTTGATGAAGAGCCATGAAGATTTTGAGTTGAAGAAGTTGTTGTTTAGTATCCTGGTAACTCTCAGTAAAGACCCAACAGTAGTCCCTGTAAGTCACAGTAGACATATATATATTTTTAGATACACTGTAAACCAACTTTTATTTGCGTGTGAGAAATATCTGCAAGTTTTGCGACCTTCTTTAATCAGGGAATATTTTTTTTTGCTGTGAACCATATATTTTTCTGCGTATTTGTGTAGAATAATTGATCAGTCAGAAAAATTTAGTCACAGATTGATTTCAAACTGAAGAATCAATTGCAAATAAAAGGTGACACAAATAATTCTTGGTTTACAGTGTTAAGTTTTACATGAGGAAGTAAATTATTAATAAATTTGTCTCAGAAATAACAACAAATTATGTATGTAAATACATATAATTAGATTTAAATAATTTTTTTAATTAAAAAAAAGCCTAATTTACCTATTCTCCTGTTATTTGTAGGTGTTATCTGAGGGGCACCTGATGTTGGCCCTGTTCTCCTTTGTGAGGGCCAATGAGAATACGTCTGGCCCCCGTGAGTGGACCCCCGCCCAGTTTGAGGAGATACAGCTCCACGCCATGTCCTGTTTATGTGCCCTGGTCCCCCTGATGATCGAGGATTACATGACCTGTCAGGGTAGCACACGTCTGTTGTTATTACTGGAATGGTGTGTGGGGGAAGGTAAACAGAATAACTCTCCCTTATTTTATGAAAATTTACTGATTTGATTGACATCTTTTTTGATTATTTACTGTCAAACTGTATGTTCACAACTAGAAAAGTTTAATGACTAGATGGGATTTTTGTCAATGAAGAGGTGATACTTTTATCTTTGCAGAGGATTTTGGTGGTCATGGCAACAGTTTCCATGGATCTGGTGGCCGTGGCAACAAGAGAGGACAGATGAGGCATTGTTTACGTCTGCTCCGCAGTGTGGTGTCCACAGGAGATGAAGGGGTTCTACAGGATCTGTCAGACCAGGGTGTCATTAACCAAATCATCAGTAAGTTATCAAATAAGTCATCAGTAAGTCATCATCAGAATCATCAGTGAGTAAACAACTAAATCATCAGAAAGTCAACAATCAAATCATCTATATGTCATCATCAAAATCATCAGTAAGTCATCAAGCAAATCATCAGTAAATCATCAACCAAATCATCAGTATTTCATTAACTTAAATTAACAAGTATGATGAAGCTTGAAGAATTGAGATAATTTTGTTAATATGAATTGAGAATTTCCATTTTTTCAATCACCAGTTTAAAAAAAAAACAGTTATCAATATGCACAATTCATGTTTATTTATTGCCTAACCTATAATCTGTTGATTTTATAGCCATCTTAAATAATCAAGTAAATCACGCTGTGGACATTGAGATGCATCAACCAAATCATCTGTGTGAGGGAGACATGCACAAAAAGTAGTAAGTCATCAAATTAGTCATACATGTTAACTCTCATCAGTAAGTCATTTAATTCATAAAACCGTAAAAAGTTCTTAAAAAAGTCTTGGGTATCCATTTTTAAGTCAACAAATAAATCATTAGTAAGTCTTTTACTAAATCAAATTAAATAAATCAAACAAATTTTAAGAAGTTTTAAGAATTGAGAGAATTTTGTTAATATGAATTGAGTTTTACCAATTTGCAATCACCAGTCAAAAAAAAACAACCAGCTATCAATATGCACAATTAATGTCTGTTGTGTAACCTTTGGTGATTTTTAAAAACAGCCATCTAGGCTATAAGAATCACTATTCAAAAGGAGTAAAGAGCCAACGCAAAATGATGAGCTGAAAAATATTTGACATTTACAATTTATGTCAAACTTAAGGTGTTTCTGATTCTGTCCTGATATCTGTGTGTAGGGAGACATGCTTATAATATACAGTATAAAGTAAGATAGATAACAAGTGTAAAACAACACTAATACCGCTTGTGTACTTCTCCCTATTTTTCATCACAATAGGTTAACATGTATGGCTTAACACTTGAGTTACCGTCTCTAAGAGAGAGAGAGAAAGAAAGCACTTGTCTAATGCAGGTGTAATGCAATAAAATTCTTTTACATTAATTTGTTCATTAGTTTGCACCCTTTCAAAAGATAGAAGTGACTTTTGAAGAAATATCTTCAGAATTGAATACTTTGTCCTACCAACTTGTTTGCTCTTAAACTGCATATGAACCCATCTTTGTATCCTTTCCCACTGTCAGGAGCTGTTTGTCTTAACTCTTCTGTCTTTATTTTAGGAGCTATTTGGGGTGGACGGAGTGGAGGTGATCATCCATTACCTGAGGACCAACTCCAAATTCCTCAACAGCGGCCTCGGTCACCACCGCCTGCTTCTGTCAGCTGTAGACTGTGTCTGGTCAGTAATTTACTAGCTATATTTCACCCCTTTTTTTGCCCAATTTGCCCTACTATCAGTTTGGTAAATTTAAAACAGGGCAAAGAACTTTATTCAGTAATAACCAATATCTGCCCCCCAAATCAAACTTTGATGGAGATATATTTAATTAAGTTCTTAAACGGGGGAGTATAAGCTGACTTCAAAGCACTGAATATTTTCATAAGTAATGACGCCATATGTACGTAATGACGTCACAAACATGACGTAAATTTCAGTTTTTTATGAATTTTCAGAAAAATGTACATATTTCGTCGATATTTTGAGTAAAAGTCAAGCGCATGTGTGTTCAGGAAATATTTTGATATAATGTGTAGAATGATAATATCAATGAAATATGTCAATATTGTTCCTGAACAAACTTGCGCTCTATAAATTTTAAAGCTAAAATTGTTGAAATTTTGTCCATTTTGTCCTCTTTCTGAAAAAGGATATAAAATCGGACTTGTTTGTGACGTCATAAAAACAAAAATTGTGAATACACAGCTTTGACACTATAATATTTTCTGTGATGTGAGTTAAAATATTTGAATACTAAAATCGGTAGGTTCATGATGTATATTTTTAATTATTTCTAAGCTTATTTAGTAATGCATTAAAACATCGGTTTTAAAACGTAAAATGTTCATTGCACTTGTACGTACAGTAATTAGGGTTTCCTATGCCTCTAAATGACCGTTATCGCCTGAGGCCTTGACCAAACACCTGATGTAACCCGGGCTTTTCTCACCTTCGACTGTCGTCTTCCCTTATATTTAGTTTGTTTTAATTACATTGAACAGGTCCATTATATTTAAACAAATTAAATAAATCTCCAAGAAGCCGCTCGGGAAAAAGACAGACGATATTGCACGTGCGATTGTTGATTTGGATGCATTTGATTACATGCCAATTAATGCAAATGGTTGAAGGCAAATGCTTTAAAAATCTATGTCCATCGTTGCTCCAAACTACAACATACCGTATCGTAATTCTTTGAAATCTAGGATCAGAAAGTGTACAAAGATCGTATAAAGTTGTAGCAAATAAAAGTTTATCGTACATATAGCTCAGACAACTTATCACTTGGACATCAAAACCAAAGATTACATTACAATTGGCATTATTTTTTAAACAAAAACATTGAACCATTTCTGATTTTAAAATGATAAATAAATTGAACTTAAAAAAAATATTATATTAAAAAATTCATAATTACAACGCATTTGCAGACGGTTTTATTTCTAAGAATTTTACAGTTATCAATTAACTTGTTCATATTTATTTACACTTTTACCGAGTACCCGGGTACTCGATCGGAAAAACGTCCAAGTAACCGAGTATCAAAAATTGACCGATTTGACATCCCTAGTTAATTTATATTTCACATACAATTTATTGAAAACATCAGGAACATTTCAAAATTTAATGTGGCAATATACCACATATAGTTCTTTAAAGAACACTGTATAATTTGTTAAACAAGGGATGTGTGACTTTACAATTTAATGTTACCAGAAAAATATAAATATCAATAGTAAGCAGAAAGCAAGAATTTTGAGGGATGTGTATCAGAAATGTTAATTAGACAGTCTTTGTTGGGTTGAAGAAATTATGTTGTAGGTAGAAAGAAAGTATGAAGAAAAAAAATTGAAAAAAATTATAAATTGGTAAAAAAGTTATCTTGAAACAGCTATATAAAAGCAATTCCTTATATGGATATAAAAAAATGGCTATAGCATTTGATGAGCTTGTTTGATTTTCTACAGGTGTGCTGTGGTTGGCTGTTACATCACCGAGGATTTCTTCCTGGAGAAGGAAGGTGTTTTCTTACTCATAGATCTTCTGGAGGTAAGGGATCAAGTTTCTAACGAGTCCATCTCACAAATTAACACCCACACTTTATGTTCTTAATTATGAGTGTCAAAAAAAGTAGACATGTTTGCAACATGAGTCAGTCTTTGAATTTGCATCATTTTAATGCATAAAGCTAAGAAGTAACGGTTGAAGATTTCTTAACTTAAGATTCAGTCTTTTATCACAAACTGGGTTTGAATTTTTCTAGAAAATATGTTCAAAAGGGACTTACACTATCAGACCTGTTATCCAGTTTGCCAAAATATATGGCTGAAATATTGCTGCCTGGGCTTTAAACAATCCTAATCAATCAATCAATCAATCCATTTCAGGTCTGTCCAAAAAATACACACAACCTGATCCTGGGATGCCTGTTAGATCTGTGTGAGAATCCCAAGACAATTCACCACATTCACACCTGGAGGGGCAAGGATAACTGTTCCGCTGCCCACCTGTTCTGTGAAATCTACAGGAACGAGGAGAAAGACATGGGGGTAAAGAGGGATAAGGATGGGGCCATCGCGGACATCACGAAGCCCCTTATGGGGGCCCTGCAGGAGTATCAGGGCGTGGTGCCTCTCCCCGCCAGTAACCCCAGCCAGTCTATTGTAGACGTGTCAGAAAACATGAGGGCTAAACTGTATTCTTTGTTTTGTAAAATTGGTAAGTGTGAATTCACTCTACTCATTCAGTCTGTCCATTGAAGGCCTGTTATAGAGTTGTTCTGTTTAAAAAAAAAACCATTTTCTCTTCAAACATCGCTGCTTGTTACCTTAATTAAAAGGAATTTTAGTTTGCATTTAGATTTTATTTCAGACTGATAATTCTGTGGAGATTAAAAAAAAGACTGAATTTTTTTTTTAGGCTGGTCTGATTTGTCTGGTCTCACAGTAGAAGATCATGTTACTCTGGTTGTTCTTGAAAAATACTTAGATTTCAAGGTAAGTTTTTATGCAGAACATAATGGTGGATTCAGGCCACCTGTATATCAAGAGTTATTCCTCTTAGTTTAGTGACATGCTACCTTAACATGTTGCATAACTTTTGTTCTTGTAGACGGGTGAAGTTTGGACAGAGATAATTCAAGCACTGTATTTTAAGAGTTATCTCTCTTTGTTGATCGACATGCCACCTTAACATATTACATAATTCTTGTTCTTGTAGATGGGTGAAGTTTGGACAGAGATAATTCAGGAACTTCATGCTGAGAATGTGAGGCCGGTCACCCCAGACATGGAGGCCATTGAAGCCATTTCCCGAGGAATTGAAGAGCGGGCTAAAATCGTGGCGGGAACACAGTATGAACTCCTAGAAGCCCAACAAAACCAAGATGCTCTAGATGAACAAGAATTCTATGCTGAGGTTAGGAACTTATCTGAATTTTTTATTTGCATGACCTTAGTTTTATTTAAATTTGGATGGAGAAAAAGAGTAGGTGTAAATTTATGTAAATTTATACTATTAATCGACATAGAACATCTGAAACTTTCCATCATGGAAACTCTTTTATGTGCTTATTATTTACTAAATAATGGCTCTTATTTATGTGTATTATGTAGTAGCCTTCATTTATTCTGTGTATATCAGAGTAGAAGATGTAAAGTATTCCAATGGTTTTTTTTTCTTCCAGATTCGTGAAAATCACAGACAGAAGGAAAAAGCTCTAAATGATTTCACCGATTTTGTTGCTAGAACCTCAAATTACCAACTACTGAAAGTAAATAAATACAGTCCTTGCAAACAAATGCAATTCCATATATAATTAGTGAAAATATACACTTAAATTAATTAGTTTTGCCAAGATTGGTAAAAAAAAAAAGTTTATTTGAAAATATAAAAAAAAATGCTTCTATTGAGATTGTTAGGTATCTTTGTAATACTTAAATTGATTAAGACCTTGACCTCTACATTTATCATCTTAATTAACCTTGGTTGTGACCTTGACCTTTTGTAGGCTGCTAAGAAGAGACAGGCTCTCTCCATTGAGGCCTCTTTAATGGGCAACAGATACAGGGAAAAGTAAGTGTTTTTATATTCACTGCACCAGAAAAGGTAAGTGCTTTTATTCCATACACCCTGAGGCCGAAGGCCGAAGGGTGCACCAGATAACGAATTTATTTCCTTTGTACCCATAACAATGCTTTAGAGTGTGTCTCAACAAATTTGCTTTGTATTATAGAAAAACTATGCATTGTGACGTCACGTTTTATTTACAAAGTGATATTTACACCCGACTTTGTAACCACTCAAAGCTCGTGTTACAAGCTAGATAGGAAATAAATATGTTTTATTCTGACACAGAAACTGAGGATGGTTAGAACATTATTGCCTATTTTCAGAGTTGTATTTATACTATCAGTATTTTATATTAAGTGCCCTCCTCACTCATTAAAATAAATTATTATATATAATCATCAACACAAGTTATGGAGTGATGCAGCAATGCACAAAATTGATATGTTTTTATTGATATGCTGAATCTCTAGAGATTTTAGAGTTTTTTTTCTGCAACTGTTCGAGTTTGAAGAGTGCATAGCCCAGATATTATCACCTTTCGATACTGTAAGATAATGTTATCATTAATACCAGAATGTGTAAATAATTAACCATAACCTTATATACTGTAGTACACTGAACTCTTACTAATGCCCATAAATGATCAAATTGTAGGGTAATTTAATCAGTGTTTTTCACTTAACATCATGCTATGTTCACACTTTTGTTTCTTTTTCAGAGATAATTTCCATGATGCAGAGTTAAAGAATACCAACACTACAGTAAGTTCATGTAAAAACTTATAAGGAACCCCTGACCTTTACAAATACAGTTGAACTTCAGTATCTTAAACTCCGATATCTCGAATACCATGGACATGTTGAAGTGATTTCAAAAACTAATTTTAGTCACTTTGACAAAGTAAGGTTTCAAGGTGTATCATCAGATTTGAGATAATGAAGTTTGACTGTAATTGGTTTTTATGTATATATCTATAGAGGCCTGTTGTGACATTTTCTGTACAGTACCTCTGACCTTTTATGAACTATTGTATTCCTGAAGAAGGGGCCATAGTCTTGATATCAATTGTCTTGTGTTTAGACCATGATCAAAATTTCTAAGAATTGAGAATTTTCTGATAAACTCAAATTAAAATAGATAAACACTAAATGACGTTTCATCATCAAAAACTGAAGTCACTTTGAAAAAATTAATAAAGTCAAGGTGAATTAAACTTTCTAAAGAAATAATGTTCTGAAAAAATTTGTTTCAAATTGTCTTGGTCCTAAATCAAATTACTTTGTGAAGGTAACAGAGGCCTCTGGGATTGAAATATCCTTTGCCTTTAAGGGGATATAGTAACTCACTTGTGTTAGTTTGCGTGTGTGTGTGTTGGTTTGTCCTGTGCAAAACAAAAGTGACCTTTTGATCAATGTTGAATGCTACCTTGATTTATAGATATGCTATTTGCAAGGGGATGCTCTGCTTTATGTTGCCCTTTTTTACAAATATTTTTCTCAGTCTTTTATCCCACGCAGAGGTTTATAAATACAACTTACCTTGGTAGATATTCTGTCTCCCTACCTTTAATCAATCTTTTTAGTCATACCATTTGTCATGCCAGTTAATTAATGGAGAGTCTCTTAATAATTCCAGATCTTGTTTTATTGCCTAATATGTCATTTTTAAGCTTAGCTTAGGCTTAAAGTGAGGCTTTATAGACAGGAAGTACATTAATTATACATACTTCACGGTCTCTCTAGACTATGGTCCAGATAGATATTTTTTATTTTTAAAAAAAAATCAAACAGAAAAAAACTGAGTATCAAGCAAGTGAAAAAAAAGCTGAGGATGAGAATTTGAAATTTAAGTTGTATGTCATTTGAGAAATGCAAATAGAAGATAATATATGAAATTAAAAAGAATCATCTAATGTTTCTCTCACATTGAATCCATTATTTCTATTTGGTAAATTGCAGTTCATGATAATGGCAAATTGTAAAGGAATACATTAATATTCCACCTTAAGTTTTTGGTCTCTCCTTTTAAATGGTTGGGCCATAGCTTTTATATTTGGTATGTGAGTTACTCCTTGTGACAAAAAAAATTCTCTTACAGTTGAACCTCATTATCCCTAACTCCAAATATCTCAAATACTGTGGATATGTGGAAATCATTTTGAGGACTTTTTAAAATGTATTTTAACCCCTATATCTTGAACCCTTAATTATGACTAGTGTTTTTTTCTTGGTCTAATTGAGTGTGAGATAACATGGTTTAACTGTAATAAAATGAAATGACAAAGAGTTGATATACCGGTAGATATATTTAGTTAACACTAGAGACATAAGGAAATGTTTGTTTTGTATATTCTGTGATCAGTCATTTTTGCAAATACAATAGAAAACAATTCTTCCTTGTATAAATGTTAAATTTTTTTGCTGCAGTAAACAATATGTATATCCTTTCATTAAAAAAACAGAATCAGTATTGTCCTAAAGCAAGAATGCAGCAAATTACACAGTACCAGCAAATCAGGAAACCAAAGGCAATATACCATGTAAGGCCCATAAACCATTAACAGATATAAATATAAACCTCGCAACCATAGCTTTGATAGATGGAAAGATTTGACACAATTTCAGTGGTTGGACCCAATCCAAGTAACACAGCTTGAATGGTACGGGCCAATTATCTGAAAGAAATGCCCTAAAAAGTACAGAAAAACAAAATTAAATGAATGACTCACCCGATCAATAACTGACATTGTGAAAAAATAAGATGTATAAAGCTTTTTAACATTTATATTGGAAAACGTGGAGATGGCTTCTCTGCCGTACAATGAGTCATTTGTTACGCGAGTTCTCCTCAGGTTTTAATTGGGTCTGCGCAGGCTCGTAGATTTATCTCCATGTCTTTACAAGGTCAATATCGCCGGGGGGAAAATTGGTCAGGGAAATTTTACACAATTACTCCAGGAACTGGAATGATCTAGAGACCGTATAAAAAAAGTTACATAATGTTATCTACTCCTTTTGGGAGGAACTTGAGATTTTTCTAAGGAAAATAATTCAATCTTGTTCTGATTTATATTCTTTAAACCCCCCTCATCATTGGTTGGCTTTTGATTGCAGCCATTTTGTTACATGTATGCATATACATACATATGTATATAAATGTTTAGTTTCCTATGTTTGAAATTCTTTGGAAAATAAATTATAGTTAATGTAATAAACTGTAAAATAAAACATGTTGATTTGATCAAAAGTTAATTAGATATTTGAATTATAGTCTTAAATATTCATTGTCTCCACTGATACATATAAGAAAGATAACTCTTGGTCAAATGAGTGTTGCTATTTTACAAAATCATCAAGTTAAAACATTTGCTACATAAGGGAAATTTTGTGCATTAGATTTCAAATCTTAAGTGAATGAAGAGAATAGTGATGAACTTAAAGGATATCTTGGTCCATTTTCAAAATACATATCTGTTGTGTTTGGTTTTTTTGTTTCGTTTTTCTATTGCAGGAATTCATAAATTAGAACAAGTCGCAATAATAACTAACAATTTGGATTTTTTTCTTCCAGACATTCTGTTCTAACCTTGTGTTAGTGGAGAGCACACCACTGTCATTAACTGGTGGTCCACTGTCAAAGTACGACACAAAATTAGGAACCACCCAGCCCAGGAAAATCCTGAAGCAAAAACTCACCACCATGAGCACAAAATAGATGCTGGTCAGTCAACACTGTTTATTTAGCTGATACATATGAAATCAAATTTCGTGAAAATTTAATTTATATTTCTAAAAGACTGGATAAAAACTGTAATAAGACAAAAGAAAAAAAAAATCTGCTCTTTTAACTGATATAAGATTTTTGGACTGTATTTATGGTGAATCCGTAACAACACCTCCACCCCCCTAAAAACTACCTCCATTCATTATTTGTTTAGTAGATCATTACTTGTTTGTTTAGTATAGATAACTGATAATTGTTTTTGTTGCAGGTATGTGTTTAAAAAGGATGGAAGTATTTGACGTTTAATGACAGGCAGAAAAAAATATAGACATTGAAGGATTCTGCTGTGATATTTTTGTGAAAAAAAAATTGTAATATACATATGTTTTCTTCTTGTATTTAATAAATTATTCTGAACAAGATTGAAGTTTGTGTATTACCTGTATTTAAAGCTCACTTGAGCTGAAAGTTGAAGTGAGCTTCTCTGATCACCCATTATCTGTATGCCTGTCTGACCATCTATAAACTTTTCATATTTTTCATCTTCATGAGAACCACTAGGCCAATTTTAGCCCCAAGTTATTACAAAGCATCCATTGGTAAAGGAGATTCTAAATTATTGAAATGAACAGGAAAATCCCCTTCTAAGAAAAGATAATCAAGGAAATAATAATTGGGGCCTTTCAAAAATCTCAAGAGTAACAGGGCCAGAAAAGATGAAACTTGCATGGAAGCATTTTTAGGTAGAGTAGATTGTAAATTGTTCATATCATTACCCTTGAAGGTGGAGTGGGGTAACAATAGGGAATACAATTAAACATTGAAATGTACAGGAAAAAATGTCTTTAAAAATCTCAAGAACCTTTGGACTGGAAAAGAGCAGACTTTGATGTAAGCTTCTTAAAGTAGTGTGACTTGGATGTAAGCTTCCTAAAGTAGTGTGACTTGGATGTAAGCTTCCTAAATTTGTGTGACTTGGATGTTAACTTCCTAAATTTGTGTGACTTGGATATAAGCTTCCTAATTTTGTGTGACTTGGATGTAACCTTCTTAAAGTAGTGTGACTTGGATGTAACCTTCTTAAAGTAGTGTAACTTGGATGTAAGCTTCCTCAAGTGGGATGACTTGGGTGTAAGCTCCCTAAAGTAGGGTGACTTGGATGTAGGCTTCCAAAAATAAGGTGACTAGGATATAGGCTTCCTTTAGTAGTGTGACTTGGATGTAAGCTTGCTATGGTAGTGTGACTTGGATGTAAGCTTCCTTTAGTAGTGTGACTTGGATGTAAGCTTCCTTTAGTAGTGTGACTTGCTTCCTTTAGTAGTGTGACTTGGATGTAAGCTTCTTAAAGTAAGGTGACTTAGATATAAGCTTCCTTAAGTAGTGCTACCTGAATGTAAGCTTTCTTAAGTAGTGGGACTTGGATGTAAGGTTCCTTAAGTGGGGTGACTTGGGTGTAAGCTCTCTAAAGTAGGGTGACTTGGATGTAAGGTTCCTTAAGTTAGGTAAATTGGATGTAAGCTTCCGAAAGTAGGATGACCTGGATGTAAACTCCCTTAAGTTTGATGACTTAGATGTAAACTCCCTAAATAGGCTGACTTGGATGTAAGCATCCTAAAGCAGGATGACTTGGATGTAAACTTCTGTAAGTAAGGTGACTTAGATGTAAACTCCCTAAAATAGGGTGACTTGGATGTAAGCTTTCTTAAGTAGTGTGACTTGGGTGTAATCTTCCTGTAGTAGTGTGACTTGGATGTAGCTTCCTTTAGTAGTGTGACCTGGATGTAAGCTTCCTTTAGTAGTGTGACTTGGATGTAAGCTTCCTATAGTAGTTTGACTTGGATGTAAGCTTCCTTAAATATTGTGACTTGGATGTAAGCTTCCTAAAGTAGTGTGACTTGGATTTAAGCTTCTTAAATTTGTATGACTTGGATGTTAACTTCCTAAATTTGTGTGACTTGGATGTTAACTTCCTAAATTTGTGTGACTTGGATGTTAGATTCCTAAATTTGTGTGACTTGGATGTAAACTCCCTTAAGTTTGATTACTTAGATGTAAACTTCCTAAATAGGCTGACTTGGATGTAAGCATCCTAATGCAGGATGACTTGGATGTAAACTCCTGTAAGTAGGGTGACTTAGATGTAAACTCCCTAAATAGGGTGACTTGGATGTAAGCTTCCTTAAGTATTGTGACTTGGATGTAAGCTTCCTGTAGTAGTGTGACTTGGATGTAAGCTTCCTATAGTAGTGTGACTTGGATGTAAGCTTCCTTTAGTAGTGTGACTTGGATGTAAGCTTCCTATAGTAGTGTGACTTGGATGTAAGCTTCTTAAATTTGTTTGACTTGGATGTTAACTTCCTAAATTTGTGTGACTTGGATGTTAGCTTCCTAAATTTGTGTGACTTGGATGTTAGCTTCCTAAATTTTTGTGTGACTTGGATGTTAGCTTCCTAAATTTGTGTGACTTGGATGTAAGCTTCCGAAATTTGTGTGACTTGGATGTTAGCTTCCTTAAGTAGGGTGACTTGGATGTAAGCTTTTTAAGGTAGTGTGACTTGGATGTAAGCTTCTTCAAGTATTGTGACTTGGATGTAAGCTTCCTCAAGTGGGATGAGTTGGGTGTAAGCTCTCTAAAGCAGGGTGACTTGGATGTAAGGTTCCTTAAGTTGGGTAACTTGGATGTAAGCTTCCGAAAGTAGGATGACTTGGATGTAAATTCCCTTAAGTTTGATTACTTAGATGTAAACTTCCTAAATAAGCTGACTTGGATGTAAGCATCCTAAAGCAGGATGACTTGGATGTAAACTCCTGTAAGTGGGGTGACTTATATGTAAACTCCCTAAATAGGGTGACTTGGATGTAAGCTTCCTTACGTAGTGTGACTTGGATGTAAGCTTCCTATAGTAGTGGGACTTGGATGTAAGCTTCCTTTAGTAGTGTGACTTGGATGTAAGCTTCCTATAGTAATGTGACTTGGATGTAAGTTTCCTAAAGTAGTGTGACTTGCATGTAAGCTTCCTAAATTTGTGTGACTTGGATGTTAACTTCCTAAATTTGTGTGACTTGGATGTTAGCTTCCTAAATTTGTGTGACTTGGATGTTAGCTTCCTAAATGTGTGTGACTTGGATGTTAGCTTCCTAAATTTGTGTGACTTGGATGTAAGCTTCCTAAATTTGTGTGACTTGGATGTTAGCTTCCTTAAGTAGGGTGACTTGGATGTAAGCTTCTTAAAGTAGTGTGACTTGGATATTAGCTTCTTAAAATATTGTGACTTGGATGTAAGCTTCCTCAAGTGGGATGACTTGGGTGTAAGCTCTCTAAAGTAGGGTGACTTGGATGTAAGGTTCCTTAAGTTGGGTAACTTGGATGTAAGCTTCCGAAAGTAGGATGACTTGGATGTAAACTCCCTTAAGTTTGATGACTTAGATGTAAACTCCCTAAATAGGCTGACTTGAATGTAAGCATCCTAAAGCAGGATGACTTGGATGTAAACTTCTGTAAGTAGGGTGACTTAGATGTAAACTCCCTAAATAGGGTGACTTGGATGTAAGCTTCCTTAAGTAAGGTGACTTGGTTGTAATCTTCCTAAAGTAGTGACTTTAATATAAGCTTCCTTAAGTAGGGTGACTTGGATGTAAGCTCCCTAGAATAGGTTAAATTAAATCATGTCAGTGGGGAATGGGGTAGGTCCATAATACAAAATACATATACATGTACATTGAAATATTAACATTGAAAAATTCTCTAAAGGCACTGGATCAGGAAAGATGAATTTCAGAAAAAGCTTTCTAAGGTACTGTAGTTTTACAAATAATCCCTGGGATGAGGGTAGGGCCACAATAGGAAATCAAAGTTATACATTGTATAATATAAGAAGAAAATCTAGAACAACTTGACCAAAAAAACTAAAACTTATATGGATCCTCCATAATGCAGTGTAGGTTGTACATTGATCAGAGTAGGGTTACAGGGAACTTATTGTTAGCAGTTTATTTTGTCACTTTTGTTCCTCAAAACTTTAAAATTAGTTGTCAAATAACACTATATAAGCCCCAACTACTGACTTGGATTAAGGAAGAGTTGCAACTAACTCACACAACCTGTAGAGCTACAATTGATATTCTTTTCTCTAAAAAGTCTCTGTACTTTGAATGAAACTGATGTTGAGAATAAACATAAATTAGATTCTTCATTTACATCCACTGACAGGAAGTCTTAAATTTCTTCCTGGATGTAAAAGAAGGCTGCAAATTGTTCAAATCATGATGGTTAGTTACCATTCTACATACCCCAAAATGCATTTATTAAGGAGGGTTGATGGTACTATAGTCTTTCCTATTTGATTATTCAGATAATGTAAAATACTAAAAACAAATAGCTTGTGACCTACTACTTTTTGATCAACCCAACTCCAATGAAAAATTTTGATGATCCAAGATTTCACATTATCTAAGATGGGACTAACATGCAAAACAATTTGTACATGAATAAAATGAATAAGAAGTAGATTAACTTAAGGTAGGATTCTTCTCTGGTTTCTGATTTGATGAAACATTCAAAGTATATTTGCTTATATGTCTTATATATATTGAAGTGTAAGGAATTTAAAAGACCATATTTTTCTTTCCTCATCACAATTGTACAACTTTAAATAGAAATGGTAAATTGCGTTTGAAAACTACCAGGGACTATATTTTTGGCGGAATGGTGGCGTATGAAAATATCTTCTTTTCTGCATCTCAAAATTATAATAGAACAATGAATTTAGTTATAATTTTTACACAATCGAAGACTTGGAGAAATTTTCAAATGTAAGTTAGATTAATAATGAGGGACTAAACTTTCAAAATATATCAAATAAATATGATTTTTCAAACAAACTAAAACTTTATTAGCTTTTAAACGCTTCCTATCAAAGTGCAGATTTGAGCCAAAAAACCATAAAAAGTATTTTTTTGTGTAAACGATCAAAACTTTTTGTTTTTGTATCATTTTGTACATTTATAAGACTACTTTATTATATGTGAAAATAAGAAAAAGTTAAATGTAGGAAGCATATGAAAATAACTAATATATCCTTAAAAAATTAAGAAAAACAGAGAAAATTCGGATTAGCCAATATCCAGTTAAGTTAAATTATTTATTAAAATTTGATAAAATCATGCTGCAGTGTATAGACCCGATATAGTAATATGTTTTTATGCAAAAAGAACAATCATTAAACTTCTGAAGTAGAAGTAGGTATCACATGATTGGCAACAGTTAAAATTATTTTTTATTCTTTATGTCAAGGAAAAACATAATGACCTTGATCTGACCTTTCCTTTAATATAAAATGGTCAAATTTAATTTCACTGATACTATCACTTACTGATATTGTCTTCTTGATTCTGTGAAAATTTCATCAATTTTTAAATATTAGAAGTATGAGAAGAATCCTACCTTAACTGGTCCTGTGATGTCACACTTTTTGGCTGCAGAACTATAGCATTGTAGTTTTAATACCAGGGTATTTAAGTCTTTGAACATGACTCACATATAAAACTATAATGCTTCAGTTCTGCAGCTAAGGCCCTTTTATGCATCAACTGACAGGATTTGATACCAGCCCTGTTAGTTAGAATGATTTATCAATCACTTAAGATTAATTTTGAATTGATCTTGACAGGTACAATGTAACACATCCTTTGTTGTAGTGCAAATCAAATTACCAAGTTTGGTGAAAATCTGCCAAGTTGTTCTTGAGAAGTACCATCTGTTTTATAATAAATAGAGGATATTCAATGTTTTGTAGTTGAATATGGAATTTATTTCACGAGTGGGACAGGATTTTTTAATATTTTCACAAGCTCTGGGTATTATGTGACATATTTGATAAAACTGGTCAGAGGGTTCTTGAAATATTGTGAATATTTATATTACGAAAAGTTTATTCACGCTGCACATATAACTATAGCACTTAAGCTCTTGGAACCCTTTGCCTTTGGAAACTTAAATTCAGAAACTTTATTCGTGCTAACCCAAATCAAGTCAGTAGATGGCCACAAAGCTTTAATGGAGTCCAAGCCTTTAGATTGGTTATAGTTTTATAAATCCAACTATCCAAAAAATTTGGTGTGTTTAAAATTTGTTTACACCTCAAATTTTTGTAAATCAGATTGAAGCGATCTAAATGCCTGTGATGGAGTCATTTGAAATATTTCATTTGCAAATATCTTTTGCATTATGTACACCTATTTAAACAGAAATCAGAACAATTCAATCAATAACATCTATTTCTTTTATTTTGAAAACAATGTATCTTTTTTTTCTCCCAATAAAAGCCTGTCCTCTGACAACTGTTGGAAAGAAACAAGGTAAATAAAAAAAATACAATGGACAGTAAAAAAAAGAATACACCTGGGAATACCAACAAAACATTGTGGAATTACTGAGGAATAAATTCATATGACCTGTAATTCCTTTAAAAAAAAAATCGAGATGATTGTTAAACCAAACAAATAATACATGTAAATGTAAAAAAAAAATGTTGATTCTCCTTTAGATTTGTTGTCAGACACTCAGTCTATAAGGTCTCAGTTTTGATATACACTTAAAATGTTCACATATTATACTATACTTAATATAGTAACCATTTTCTATCTTTATTTCTAATTTTAGAAACAGGTGAATTTGATTGGCTTTGAAATTTTATACAAGAGCAACAGTCTAGATAATGCAATAATTCATGCTTTTTAGGTAATTTGGTCATATTTGAAAAAAATAATGAATTGTAAGGCCTTTACTGTTCTTAGAACAGCTAGCTTTCTAAAAAAAATACATCTGTGTTGTCATTCTTACATAATGGTCTGAACCTCTGTTGTAAACAAATACTGTGAAATCACAAATTTTCGTGGGGTCAAATTTTTGAGATCTGAAGCAAAAATAGGGTTTGTGGGGATTTGATTTCATGGATAAAGAAATATTGTGTAGATATGTCTGTGGGTCTTATCATACCTCGAAAAGAAGGAAAATTTAATCCCCACGAAAATTAGTGATTTTATGGTAAGCCAGTGTGATCAGCTGTTAATTAAATACAGTGGAGCCTTGTTAATCAATAATCACATTTCACCTTAAAGACGAAATTTAAAAGGTCCAGTTCAGCTACTAGTATTCCATTCTCTCTGATCAAGATGATAAGCTTGAGATTTACAAGGCTTGACTGTACCTGCTTAAAATTATTTCTTTCCAGTTGTTGGTCACAGAATGATTTTGAAAAATCTATGTGGGAATGTCAGAAAAAAAAAGAAAATACAGGCTCCCAAAAAAGCGTAAAGTTCCTCTACATACTGAGATCACGGAAAACTGAATTTGTACAATTATGAAATGTTGACACAAACATGTATTCAGTCCATTACAAATTGCAATTAGCTTAATGATGAAAATTCAAATAATTTTATAACATAACTGAATGCTCATACATTCCAATGGAAGTTCATGTAGTGGAATACATTTGCAAAGCATTTTTCAGCAAGATTTCTATCTCAATTAATCCAATGCCCACTCCCCCTCCCCAATTTGTAACGTTAAGCTAAACACAATATTGTAAGGTCTTCGTCTTCTGATTTCTAGAGACAAGTATAACATAGACATCTTAAGGTGACCTGCACCCTTCTCACCTAATCCTTACACATTAACACAGGACAAAGCTTTTTTTTTTACTACACAGAAATGAGAAGGGAGAAAAAAAGAAAAGAGGGAAAGCTCAAAAAGAAAGTATGATAAAACCAAATGGATCAAAATGTGGGCTTACTTAAGAGAGAGAGAGAGAGAGAGAGAGAGAGAGAGAGAGAGAGAGAGAGACCTATGTGATGACTGTATCTTCATTGATTTTTAGGGCTTATGAAACTAACTTTTTTCAGAATCATGAAAATAACAAATAAAGGGGCGCTTATATAAATAAAATGAACAAGTTATTCTATGTATACATGTATTAGATTTCATTCAAAGTTTTACAGAATGTCGCATAATTTAAAAGTGATAAAAAAATTGTGTAACGGTGGATGAATTTGTTTAAATTTAAGGGTTGCAGCATAGAAAGTCAGCAATTCTTCATATTTCAGAAATTAGATAATTGTGACTTTTAACAATTTTACAAGCAAAATATATCAACTGTCCATAAAACAAAATTAATATTTAGTACATCTGTACTTCAGAACGCCTGTCTCATTTACCAATGATTATTTTTCAATACACTGCTTGTCTACGGTACATTTTCAAATGCTGAAGTTGTGATTCACCTAAAACATGTACAACTTTACTTCCATTTAGCTTGTGGTTTTCCCTGATGTATTTCTGACAATGTTGCATTATACCAGCTCTCATAAAATCAAATAGCACCTATATTTTTCTTTTTTCTCCCAAAGATGTCTTTCTAAAAAGGCTACAGTGAATACATATCACAGCTTATCTCATTAAATACATAAATCAACAAACTTTACATATTTACACAAAAAAAGAGTGCTAATTACAATCTAGGAAAGTTTTCCTTGCTAAACTTTGGCATACTTTTTCAAAGACAAAAAGAAACAAATTGCTTGCAGCTAAATCACTCCAATGTCCCTGTGCGTATCTAGTTCACAAAATATACATGTATATACAAAACTATGTACACTTCAAAACTTAATAAAACCAAAACAATTTTCCTGCAAGAAAACGATTTTAACATGATCTTTCAACTTAATCTTTTACTTAATTTAGATACAAAATCAGCCACAAGTCAGAATGCTACTTTTCCTTCCTGAAATTAATTTGAATTTCTTTGAAAAAGATAAATTTGCATACTGATAAATTGTGCCATTTTATAGTCGCATAGGTACTTTCTTGGCTTTTTACTCAGTCTAGATTTCCTTGTTAAAACTCTGTATTCCAGCACTTAAACCCTTGATTTTTCTTGCTTTTATACAATTAGTCTGTTAACCCTTGCTTGCTCAAATGTCCAAATTGTGCCATAAACATGTGTCTGATAAATCTTTATAGTAGATTAACTAGGAGAAAATGAACACTAACACTGTACAATAGTTAAACTATAAAAAGTGAACCATAACAATGCAACATGCAGGTCAATATAGACTGATTGTCAGAATATGAATTTAAAGAATTAAATGTGGTCACAGCAACTCATAGCTGTATAAAAACTCAGAAGGATCAGCCAATTTGAATTTTCTTTATTCAAATGAATCAGTTTTGCTATATGAAAATTTGATAAATGCTTAGAATTTTTTTAAAAAAGTTTCTACATACATAAATATAGCTGTCACCACATCAAATTCTCATTCAAATGACATAAATTCATTATATTATAATCTTGTTTATGGAAAAAATCATGAATTTAGGAAACAGTAATAAAGAACAAGGGAAAACAGTTTGATTCAAATCTTCATTGCACTTCTTACTTTAACTGGTTCTCATTCATTATTACACACAATGTGCACATCGTGGAGATTATCATGAGAAGGGAACCAGTCCAACAATAACTTTTGCTATAGGAGCAACATATCCTAACATTACACTGGACAACACCCATAATACTTTTATCATGTTTATATAGGTAAACATTTTTTAATACAACCAACTGTAAAAACAACAGCGAAAAACACTTCTCAGTAATACTTATCACTTTGACCCTTGACCCGTATCTCGACAAAATCCAGTACAAAAACAACACAACAATCCCTGCCAGGTACTGAGTAAAAAATTCATGTCAATGTAACAATTCTTTTTCTTTGACCACATCAACACAAATATTCATTACAAATCCAAGCCTCTCTCTAGGTCAAGGTCAAAAAATAAACTATTCTTTCAAGGTCACATTATCCTTCATCTTTTAATCTAGATGCCACAAACTGGTATCAATTCTGCCCCACAGTGTTTAAAGTTTCTCAACAATATGTCACACTCTTCGCAACAGTTTAATTCTCACTGATCCATGCCCACAGTCCTAAGAGTAACTGTTTTGACCATTGTGAGGTCATTTTGGCCCAAGGGTCCACTTCAAGGAGAGTAGGAGTAAAATGCTGAATCTCCTCCCACAGTCACTGGTAATATCATCTCCTCATGTATCGGGACAAAATGCTGAAAAATAGAGAAAAAAATCATGAGAGAAAATCAACATGCTTTCGTATCTTATTTTTTTTCACAAAACCCTCTCTTGGTAATTAAACTGAGTATATGACTTATACATAAGAAATGAATTGACTGTGATGTCATAAAACAACGGCACAAAAACACAATGCTTCCTGTTGTATTTCATGTAACAAAACACATCAATATAAGAGGGAAACATCAAACACCAATTGCATGAGATTGGGAATAACTATCTGTTCAATTGGTATTTGTGACTGCAAATGCCGATTGGAACAGTTGGAAGCATATGGGTCTGTTGAAAAACTTTGCAACCCTTAAATCAGCATTAATGGTTGTAAATACTGGTTGTAAATACCAAATGAAAAGATAGTAATTCCCTTAATGCAAAGTTCATTACTTTATAGTTTCTGCTATACAATTTTTTTTAAAGAATATATGGAAGCTCTTGAAAAAAAGTCTGTCAGTTAAAAAATCGAACTTTCACCATTCATGAAATCTAAAAAGATATTTATTTGGATTATTGCCCTCATATCAAAAGGGTTTTACGAAATGTCAAATAAACTTCCATCAATATATTAATGACCTTGAATCAGGTGAGTATAGTAAAAACAAAACTTCAGAGCAGAGAGCCCAGATAATCATATTACACACAGCTTCAATACAGACGTGATTAGCCGTTTTGATATACTGACATATGTTATCAAGTGCTAAAAAGATATTATCAAATGTTAAAAAAAAAAGAGAGAAGGAAAAATACAGCTTTAATATCTGCAACAATAATAGAGCATTTGGTTTTCATTTTGAGATCTCCGAAGCATTTCTTTTATTTGACCTTTACCCTCTACCTTAAGTCACATGACCTTTGATAAGCCCTCAAACATTTAACATATGTTCATAAGTGAATAAAAAAAAATCACTTATGTATCAGCTTTTCCAATAGAATTTTTTTTAACCAACTGAATGCTTTTGACTGACTTATCATATCCTCTGTGCAACAAAAAGTGATATCACCTTTGAGTACTCGGCTGAATGATAAATATATCACCAATGACAGCCATTATCCCCGATCTGTGCGATATCCTTTTTTATTACCCTGTTCCCTGATCAGCCTGACACTGATACCCTATTTCCTTGAAATATAAACGTCCGATGTGGGACGTAAAAAACACAATTCATTACCTCCGTCTGAGCATTGAATAGGAAACGCAATATTCGAGTAACTTAGTTTATGAAGCTGATTTCATTGGAAAATCTTTAAAAAAATTGTAGTGTCTTTAAGGTAGAATGCCACACCAATTTTTTATTTTATGGATCTATGAGTCATCATTTCTAAACAATGGTTTCAGCATTGAAAGGCCGATATTACCTCTTAATTATTTTATATGAATTTTTTTGTATTTTTTCAAAGAAAATGAAAAAAATTATTTACATCCAAATTAGGTGCATTCTTGTAAAAATTTTGCTGTAAATGAATGCATCACATGAATACCTAATAAAATATGAAAAGAAAGTCTGGTTAGACTTTTTGATTTTTTTTTATAAAAAATTATTTATGAAAATAAAACACATTATTTGTAAATATTTTTTAAACCTATGGTTAAAAACACCATAAAACTAGTCACAACTAAGGACAACATGTTTGTCAATCATATTCTAAAAAGAAATTGGTATTTTAGAGAAATTAATTTTTTTAATATTTGGACCTAACCCGATCAAAATTAAACTGATCCCGATCAAAAATAACACAAAATGAATAAAATGCTAATTTATTGCCTCTTCATGTATTTACAATGAATAAATCTATTTTATTGTCAGATTCTATAATGTTTTAACCCTTATAACACCTAATCAGACTAGTGTTCTAAGGAAAATGTTATTTATTTCCAATAATTGTACAATTATGGTCGGGATCGGTTTAATTTTGATCGGGATTGGCCAAAATTAAAAAAAAATTAATTTCTCTAAAATTTGGCTACTTCGTTTCAATTTCTTTTATAAGTATGATTAATGAACATATTCTCCCCAGATGTGGCTGGTTTTAAGACGATTTTAACCACAAGTTTAAAAAATATTCACAAATTATATGTTTTATTTTCATAAATATTTTTTTATAAAAAAAATAAATAAGTCTAATCAGACTTTCTTTACATATTTTATTAGGTATTCATGTGATGCATTCATTTACAGCAAAAATTTTACAAGGAAGCACCTTATATGGATGTAATTAAGATTTTTCGTTTTCTTTGAAAAAATACAAAAAAATTCATATAAAATAATTAAGAGCTAATGTCGGCCTTTCAATGCTGAAACCATTGTTTAAAAAGGTTGACTCAGAGATCTATAAAATAAAAAGTTGGTGTGGCATTCCTCCTTAACACAATGCCTAACATGCAGTTTTGACCTTTAAATTTTCTCAGCCTTTAAACAAAGATTTCTCTACTTCTTAGTCTATGATATGATAAAAGAACACATGAAAACAATACCCAAATCTTTCCTCATAAAACAAAAAAAAATTTCTTGCTCTTACTAAATATATACAGGAATATTTATAAAAACATAGTAAATATTTAACGTCAGTCTGCTGTATCCCCAATTATTTGTTTTATACTCCTTTAAATCTGCCCCTCCCAACATCAGATCATTCAATGAACAGCAATCGCTAACAATCTGCCAATAGAAGACTTTTAATGAAATGTTGAGTGTTTTAATTGCTCACGAGAAGCTCTAGGTTATAGTGTCAAGAGGCCTTCATTAATCAAAATTCTACAGAGATAACCGTGCTGGAGGATGCTATCTGAGTGTACTCATGCTGGGGTTTGTTAGTTATTATATCAATGGGGCCTCTAAGATTCCCTGTTAACCAGTCCTGGCGATTAAATCTGATGTCTGCAGCAGACATTGATCTATTGTCATACAAGGGTCCCAAGACACTCATTGGCATCGTGTCCTCAATGCACTGTAATGTACGGTAAAACGCACTAATAGCTTAGTGCAAACTTGATTGCTTATAAACAATTTACATAAATCTGCCATATGTTTTTTTTCTTTTTTAAATACGGAGAATGAAAATAAAAATCACTTAACCGTTAGCCTAAAAAATTCAATATAAGGAGGTTCATTGTAACTGGGTTATACTGTACTTTTATCATGATCAGTATTAATTAGCTATACTTAAAATTAATGCGCTGATGTTGATCTGCTTAGTGTTCCCCATATTCACCTGTCTGAATAATATATACATTTTTCTAAGGCTTTACCCCTTAAATGTCCCTTTACCCCCCTTTTTTTCTTAATTCTCAAATATATATACAAAACTTCTACCTTTATTTTTTGGTAATTGGTAGCATGATATGTAAACTAGAATTGATACATTTAAGCTATGTACTAAATGCTGAATTTTAAAATAATTCCAACCAGATTCCTGAGGCTGCAAAGCTAACCTGATAAATAGTCTCTTAAAGAATATCAGGAAACTTTTTGTTCCTAACTTACTAGATGTACAAATAAGTGGCAGTCTTTTTTTTGTTCCAAAAATTACTTTCAGCATTTGGATTGAATTGCAATGTACCATAAATTCCATTCTGCAGAGCTTCAAGGTGCTGATCATGTGATGGTTAAACAACTTGTTGTCTTGGGTTGAAAACTTACCATCTCGTCTCCCTGGGACAGGACTACAGACACAGGATTGATAAAACTTACCATTTCATCTGCCTGGGACAGGACTACAGACACAGGACTGATAAAACTTACCATTTCATCTCCCTGGGACAGGACTACAGACACAGGATTGATAAAACTTACCATTTCATCTGCCTGGGACAGGACTACAGACACAGGACTGATAAAACTTACCATTTCATCTCCCTGGGACAGGACTACAGACACAGGATTGATGCATCTCTCAGACAGGAATACGAGGGACTGGGCAGCCTGTAAACGACAGCAGTACCGAGCACACTCGTCATCTAGAAGAGCCTCGCGGTACCTCTGATCACTCGCTATTGACAACACCTCCTTATACAGTGGAATTTCCTGAGTGGGGTGAAAATGTCTGCTGCTGGGATGGGAAGAAGATGGTGCATTATGGGAAATAATTGGTGACTGCAGTGTATTGGCTCTAAGGGAAAGTGACCCAATGTCTTGTGAGGGGAAAAGTTTAGGGAAAGAAGCAGATGAAGTGTTTTTAGAACTCGTACTTCTTTTATTAACAGGAAGATGTTCAGCAGAAATGCTGAAACTTGTCTCTGTTGATGATTTTACACTCAAGTCCATGGGTTGGTCAGCAGCTTTTGCATAGTCAGGTTCCTGCTCGAGTCTCCTCTTGGCGGAGGGCGTTGGAGGGTCAGACGTCGAGTGGCGCTTGGCTTCATCCTTTAGAGCCATAGCAGTCCATATAGGGGGAGGGGAGGGTGATTTGGCACCCTCCCTTTGTAAAGCTGGTGTTGGTTTTAATGGTTTTGGTGATTTAATAAAAGTAAATTGACTTTGTGAATCACTGATAAGGTGGCTAAGCCTAGGTGTCAGCAAAGACTTCTGAACATTTTCTGATATTTGAGGTGCCTTTGGTGTGCTAAGTAGTGTATTTGAAGCTAAGTGTAGACCTGATGGCTCTGACACTGAAAAACTCTCTTGTCTCCAACATGGTATCAAAGGTGATTTCACAACAAATGGCGAGTCATAATTGTTATTATTCTTTTCCTCCTCTTGAATGCTCTCTAAATTCTGAGTTTGTTCATCACTCTGTAACGTCAGTATCTGCTCAGATGATGAAATCAAGTCACTGAGTTTTGCATCCAATGCTGAGTTCCCACTCTCATCCAACTGATTATCCGTGTGACCTTCGACCTCCTGGTACCCAGCCTCCATTTGAAGCTGTAGCTGCAGCTCCCTCTGTAGTTTAAGTAGTTCCTCCTGTTGTTTTCTGATCAGCTCTAGCTGGTACATGATGTTGGTGTTCTTTCTGGTCTTGGATTGGTTCCTCAGACTCTGGGCCTGATGACAAAGACTCTGCATGTGAACGTTGGACTCAGAAATACTCTCATTGAGCTCAGCAATGCTCTGTCTCTTTTTGTTCTTCTGGACTCGGCCCACAAAGTTTCCCACCGAGTCCCGAGTGCGCTCACCGTGGCTGGCCTGTTCTCCAGTTGATGTCGAGGGAGCTTGGCTGTTTTCGTCCTGTTCTGTCTCTGTAAACATAGCCATGGTGGTCTCTCCTGCTTTGTTATCCACCAGAATTTCCTACAACCAATCAAAGAAATTAAATATTTACCAATAAATAAATATAATTACTGTATGCATCTTTTTAAATCAAATTATTTATTCTCTGTTATTAGAGTATAAATCAAAATAATGAAAATCAGTCAAACTTCAAGGTCAAGGTGACAGGATAAAAAAAAAGCATAATGTATTTGCAAAGGACTTGTCAAAGGTGATGTATATATAAAAACTCAAAACTTTGTCTTTATGGTTTAATTAGCTCATTCTAAAACAAAATCTTTCAAAGAACAACAGAAATATTGTGGTATTAACTACAGCAAACATTATACATATCTGCATGGACCAGATAGTGCATCTATGACAGCAACTTGCATGAACCTGTAGCAGGAACCACTCTATTAACTGAATACTTTTGATATTAAATGAATCAGCTCAATATAAATTTTACAAACACAGAGCACTACAGCTGTTAATTCTAAATCATTCCTGATCACAACACTTTTTACTGCAGTTTACGTGACCAGAATTTCAAGTCATTTTCAAACAGATGCTAAAAAAAGATTTCAAACTCAAAAAAAAAAAAAACGACAGAAATTTTTTATGCATCAAATGCATTACTGCAACTTTGAAAGATAAAAAAGAACATATCTATTAAAGAGGTGAAAATTGGCTTAATTTACATGATTTATGGGTCAAAGTAATTTGTGTATTTATTCGATGAAAATATTTTGATTATTCCTATAGCTATGTTTAGAGAAAATTATGCAGATAAAAAAAAAAAAATTCCACACTTTGAATTGTCGATCTGATAATTAACATCATAAAAATTACGTTTTTTTTTCTCTGGTGGGATGTCAATTTATCGCAGACCATTGTTATCTATCTCTCCATCTCCGTTTAGCCGAGGAAATGAAGCCGTTTTCACCAGATAAACAGAGAGAAAATGATATTGAGTCATACAGTCAATAATTACCGGGCAAACATAAAAAAAAAAAAAAAAATCAGCACACTATCGTGTGCACATGTAATTGTGCAAATAACGATCTATTGAATTTCCATCTGGAAAAATCATTTAAAGGGAGGGATGCTTGCCAAATCTATCACCTTCAACATCTGTCTTGTGTGAGATTTTTTTTTTTAAATTGAATTGATCAAGAGTTAGACAGAGATCTCTCAATTTGTTGGGGTGCATTAATTGTCTCGCCTGCGACGAATGTCGCGAAGCGAGACATAGCGACCATAGATTCCGTCGTCGTCGTCGTCGTCGGCGTCCAACTTTTGGTTAACCCAAATGTCAAAGTTTTATAAACTGCAATAACTTTCTCAAATTTTATTCAGTCTTCTTGAAATTTGGACACAATATTCAGTATGGATAAAAATTTATATCCCAAGTATGATTTTGAAAAAAAAAATTAAATATATATATGGACTTAGTTTTTTCATGATAATTTATGGTGAAGACCTATATTCCAGCAACTATAAGTTATAGGGATATGATAATTAGTCAGTGGATACATCATGGGTAACCACAAACGTCAGTACCAGAATTAGGTCATCTTGACCTACATTTTTCTGCATGAGTGACTTTGGTTAAATTTTTGGTGGAGGTCCATATCTCAGCATCTATAACTTATAATGGCATGATGATTTGTCATTGTACAGGTTATAAGTAACCAACAACATCAGTACCAGAATTAGGTCATTTTGACCTACATTTTTCTGCATGAATGACTTTGGTTAAATTGATAATGGAGGTTCATATTTCAGCAACTATAACTTATAGTGGCATGATAGTTAGTCAGTGGATACATCATGGGTAACCACAAACGCCTGTACCAGAATTAGGTCATCTTGACCTACATTTTTCCGCATGAGTGACTTTGCATAAATTTATGGTGGAGGTCCATATCTCAGCAACTATAACTTATAGTGGCATTATAATTTGTCAGTGGATACATCATGGGTAACCACAAACGCCTGTACCAGAATTAGGTCATCTTGACCTACATTTTTCCGCATGAGTGACTTTGCATAAATTTATGGTGGAGGTCCATATCTCAGCAACTATAACTTATAGTGGCATGATAATTTGTTCTACACATCATGGGTAACCAACAATATCAGTACCATAATTAGGTAATCTTCACCTACATTTTCTGCATGAATGACTTGATACATATACAGTGGATTTGATTTCAAAATGCAAGTTCAAATTATTGCGACTCATAACACGTTGCAATATTCGCAATAATAAAAACATCACAATAATTTGTGAATTTACAGGGTATATGTATATATATATAAATGCCAATATAATCGCCAAGGGATTAGATATTAAGTCAGAATGTCAATAAATGCTTCAGTTTATCAGACAATCATTTCTTACTAACCACAGCGACAGCAGGCGAGACACAGGGTTGCGGGCAACCCTTACGTACTTTTTTAATCTGCTTTTAATACTGTTTAATACAGGTGTAAACATTTGTTAGCAGCTTTTTTTTTAGGAAAAAAAAATATATATATAATTTGATTTTCAAAACTCAAATTTTTACTCAATGCATAAGAATTAAGCTTTGATTTTTAAAAAGAACATAAAGTTCTGAATAAAACGTTAAATCATACGAAAAAAAAAATTACTTGCAACATGTGCAAAGCAAAAAGGAATAATTTTGGATTAAACACAAAGAATACTTTTATTTATGCATGCAAATGGGATACTCAATGTTTTTTTGTTCAAAAAATATTTTCAAGAGTAAAAAGATTATAGTGCCTAATGAGTGTGAAATAAATTCAATATTTTTTTATTACATTGATCTGTTTATTAGATATTCTTCTTTTCCCCCAATTGACCCTAACTGATGAAGATATTTATTTAGCTGTCTGTAGATAAGTAACCTGTAATGTCATAGGTAATCTAATGGTTTTAAGACGTCATAGCTAAGCAGCTGTGATATTGGATAGTGTAAAAATGGACCTTATAATTAACATTAATTTGGAAAAACTTGGGATGTTTGTTAATATTAGGATGGCTTATTAGTCTTGCTATTGGGAGTATTTTCATAAAATTAATGTCTTTTGAAAATGAAGGGGAAAAAAGTTTTATCTAGTGCATATAAATTTGTTATTTTTATAAGGTAAAATTACTTTTTTATAATAAGAATTATTTGCTTAAAGTTCTGTGAAATATCAGTTTTATTTAAATTAATAGATGAACTGCTGAAAATACAAATATTGTTTTATAACACCCTCAGCGAGTTAAAGTTAGAAGGTTTCACTGTATTTTCTATTTTATTTGCATGCAGACTTAATTAAACAGGTCATTAACTGCCATATTTTTTTTATGAACTTTCCCAATATATATAAATGAAATATTTTAAGCAAGTAGTAAAGAAAACAATTTTACAACTAGCTAATTTGAAGCTTTCCTTTTTTATTTGTTTATCTTTAAAAATTGTTTTGATTGCATGTATCTGATAAGCTTTATTAACTTATCACTTAAAATTAATTTATTAAAATTACCCCGTAAAGAATCAGCACTGAGAAGAACTTGAAGCAATAATTTTGACGCAATTATTTTATTTTTTGCTTATTAATAATTATTGAGTGAACTGTTGCACCTGGAAAATTTCTAAGTTTATCTTTACTCAAATTGCATTCTACCTTCCTTTAAATGAACCCTTCTGTCTGGGACTAAATTCTGTTTACCATGTTTACCAAGAAGTTGTGTAAAACTATTCCATTTTTAACAGTACATTTTTTATCTCTTTATTTAATCAATGAAAACTTGCCTAATTTGCCTTAAAATAACAAATAGGTTATCATGGCAATATTTATCAATTTAATAAAAACATCATTGAGATTTTAAGGATTTCTTTGTAAAAACTCCCGAGTTCTTGAGTTCATTTTCCTAAGACTTTAACTGACCAATTTCCTGATTCAGTTGCTTGTTTTGAATGCTTCACCAGTTGTTGAAAGCTATCAATAATTATTTAGATAAATATTGATCTAACCACATCTTCATCACTGGAATTATCAATTGAATATAAACAATATTGGCTTGGTGAAAGGTGTCAAACATGATTCCAACATCTATTTACTTAATTTCAAGAGAATCTTGTGGATTTTCCCACACTAATTGTGATTCTCTATCTCTCTCTTTTGGATCAATTTTTAAAGATATATTTTTACTCCACATTGCACTTTTATGAAATAATAAGCAATAAAATCTAATTCTTTATCTAATAAAGCCACACTAAATATTTTATGTGTTTAATAAAAATCGTAAATTCTGCATCTGTTCATTTTAGTTCAGTGGAAAGCAATAATTTACCAAAGTTTTTAGCTCTGATTTTCCCCCCAATCCTATCTCCTCATAAAGGTTGTTCAAGCTGCTAATAAACGTGATAAATAAAACATGTTTGTAAAATTTCATATATTTCATTAGAGAGTGCATTATCACAAGGATGTTTTATAGGTTTGTTCTAGTATTTAAAAAAAAATATTTTCAATATAAAATGTCTTTTTCTTCCATGATCCATTATTATTTAAGATAAATTTAAAGACAATTAAAAAGCAAAAATTCTCAAAAGGGTGATACCTGAACTTTTATCTCTATAAAAATCAAGCAGTGCCTTAATAAAAAAATATCGCTATGATTTATTTTTTTAACACATGAACCAAATTGGACTGATTTTTTACATGTATATAAACATCTGATTTTTAACATGGATGATTAAATTAATGTTTATCTATCTATAACTTATAGCACTTGTTTCCTAGTTCCCACCTTACCTTAGTTATGACCAGTTTTCTGACATCACATGGTCCTTCTTGGTGTTGATCCCCTAACCCTGCACAATAAGACTTATCCGCTGTAACCTTAGAATGTTCCACACCACCATGCTCCTGAAAATGGTGCTTCCTTACAATATAGTTTGGGAAATGTCTGATTTCTTCTGCCCCTGAATTAAAATCATGTCCATCACATGGTGCTTGATTTTTTATACAGGCATCATATTCCCTTTGTTCTCTGCAATTTTTAACAAGATGGAGAAGTGTACTAGAAGTTGGTTGACTTTCTTTAATTATTTGTACATGGAGCTCATTTGATGAAGCAAGTGTGTGATCAACCTTCTCCAAGTTTCTCTGTGTTTGAGTCCCATCTCGGAAAACTCCATTGTCTTTCTTGTACTCAGATGCTCTTTCTAAAAAACCACTAGAAGATGCTTGAGCATTTTTAGACTGCAAGTGTGCAACTTTTCCTTTTGGATTTTGCAACCTGTGATTTGAGATCTCAGCTAAGTTTCCTTCCACATTTTGCAAACCTAGCAGAGAGTGACCTTCCGTGGAATTTTGCAATCCTTGTGACAAACAGTTTCTGAGTTTTTGGGAGAATTCGAGATTTGCGTCTCTTAGTCCTTGCAGTTCAGAACAGGTAGCATTTCTCAAGTTACTACAGCATTGAGTGTCTCCATCACACTGGCGACTGGAAGCTTGTGGTGCTACAACATAGGAATGAGTCACCCTCTCTCTATTGCCGCTTCCATCTCCTGATATTGGTAAAACATCTTCAGAAACATGGGGTGAATCATCGTGACAATTTGCTTTATCAGCACTGCAAGGAAAAAGTCCTCTTTTGTAAACAATTCCATCCGAGTTGCTGGCAAAGCCCCGAGATTCCCCACCAACCTCCAGAACATTGCTCAAAGGCTGAGACGCGAGTCCATAAAGCTCACTCGAGTCCCCTGATTTTGGGTCAGCACTAGTCTGAGCTATACTCTTGCTTTTATCTTTATTTAGGTTACTAGGCAACACTTGGGCTACATCAACAGTCTTCTGTCCATGACTGATGGTCCACTGACCGGTACCGCGGGATTGTGGGATTGATTTGACCGTGATCAGTTTCTGTTGACCGGCCTTGGCTGGAGTGAGTTGTTTGGTTACTGGACAGATATTCTCTTTACATTCTTCTTCTTCTTCCTCTGAGTCCTCCACAGTGGTGAATAAGGTCCTCTGTAAAGTGTCCTAAAAAGACAGCAAGGTCAAGGTCAAAAAAAGTCAAAATATCTAATGTTCCTTTACTTTCTTTGCAAATCTAGCATTGCCTTTACGTGTATTTGAAAATAAAAAATATGAAAATAAAATGAAAATAATAATCATGATAATAAAAAAAATAATAACACCCCTCTCCACAAATACAAAGCATACCAATTTAAACCAAATTAACAGGCCAATAAACAAGCTTTCTGATCAACATGATAAAAATAGAAATGTTGTTTTTTTTCTAACTTTATTTTTAGGGAAAAAAAAACAACAGCTTCCTAAACCTAATCAATTCACCAAAACCCGATCAATACACTGAATGAAAAACAATACCCATCAGAACTTTATCTCAGTTACAAGTACCTTTTAATAAAGTTTCAACAATGGCATCAGACCAGAGAGCAACTTTATCAATAAAATCACCGTGCAGCAAGAACAGGATTCCGTTATCATTCATTTTTTTTCCTTGGGTAATTTCTTACTGTAATTTTTGCACATCATTCATGAATAACAGTCATTCAGAGAGAACATTAAACAACAATTTTCCCCAGTAATGCTTACAGGACATCAGCTGGAGAATTATTTGATAATTCACCAAGACAGAGTCTGTGCACAGAAAATTAAAGTGCTGCAGCCAGAAAATTATCCATATTAATGATTAAGGATAATTTCATTATTTATAAAAGTTGTGGGTTGTAGTTTATCATTGATTTTTTTTTCTAAAATCTTTAAAATCAACTTACATTGATATACATATATATATAAATGTGTCAATTTAATCATCTACATTCAGATGAACATATTTTTGTTGCATATCTTACTACTGTTTTTCAAATTAATGTCAAGGTTAATAAGAGGTTTGTTGACAAACAGACAGACTTAAAATGTTCCTTTTACATTGTTTTGTTTTTCACAATAAAGCTATTGACAAACAAACATACACGCTATAAAGTAAACATTTCCCCATTTTCCTATCATTGGTGTAGCAAAAAATATTATCTTCTTCATTTGATTCAATTAAAGACCCAGAACGTAATAAATAATGATTTTTGGTTGATATCAGAGCTGCTCCGATTTCTTACTGGTGGAAGTATCTGAGAGAACAATGAGTCATCCTCACCACTGATCGCAAGGACAAGTCTACAATTGCTGATCTCTCCAGGATAACTATTGCTCCTATTTGACTTTTATTGTCTTAGCTAATAAACGCTGTTGAGAGAGAGAGAGAGAGAGAGAGAAGGAGAGAGAGAGAAGTGCAATAGACCTATAATTTTTATTTCAAAATGCATCTACTATCAATTAAACATTTATCTCAAATTTCTTTTATTGAAATATTTAAAAGGGTCTCTTTGAACTGACAATACCCATTTTCTTTTCTCTTTTATGGGAGGGTGGGGTTCGGGAGGGGGGATGGGTGGTGCATAAGACAGAAAACAATTAATTCTTTTTATCTATTCTGCCTGATTTATTTTGCCTTTCTGCTCAATAATACCCACTTCCTAGATTTACCTAACCTATAATCCTTTATTGCTCCACACAATGGTAACATGGAAGACTGTTGGTCTCTGTAAGCGAGCTCTGACTCAGTGTTTGTCAAAGGAAATGGGCTCAAGTTATCTGCACTCAGGGACTCGAGGTTCCGAGCAGGATTGGGAAATTATTACGACCAAAGTCCCGTGTTAACCCGAGCAGCTATAGAACCAAGTGAACATGCTTTCAGTTATCAGACGGACATAATATTTACGTTTAGTCACTGCAGTCTCAGGAACTGCACTCAGTGCCCCTTCAGAATCCAGATAAATTCTGTAATCTTGGGTGTAAAATCAGAAAATTAACTCCAAGCCTTATTTGCATGATTGACAAGATTCTTGCAAATACTCCAGGCTATGACAAGACAATCTGTGGTGAACGCATTATATTAACCATACTCTTAAATTGACATGAAAACCATGAAAACAATAGGTCATGATCATAAAATTATGTCAGAGTACTGATATATCATGCAATGATGCCTAAAGATTCAATTGTAAGTTTGACACACTGTCACTGTTTGGCTAAGAATAGCTAAAATTTTTAAGAATCATGAAAAGTGGCGAAAATTATTTTCAATTTAGCTGGGAGAGCCAACTTCCAAGATACATCCTAAAAGATATCAAAAAAAAAAAATCTGGAAATCTTTCAGAATAAATATATCATGATCAAGAACTGCAGTCAATGAACATGAAAAATTGTCAAAGGGTCCATAAATGCTTGAGGAACTTTTATTAATGAAAAATTCTCCATTCCCATGAGCAGCAATGCCTATTCCAAGACTCCCAGTAAAATAGACTCTGTCAGAATCTAGGTGTAAGAGTTCCTGTGATCATGACAGGTCACAATTAGCGGTTTTCCTGTATTTTCTTCCTGTTGTTCTCTGATTTCCCCTGGTGGTTGCCCAGTGACACACAAAGCTGTATAGCTGTAAATCTATATAATCAGACACCTGCCAATAAAGGCAAAAATTCTATCTCTAAACAAAAGAAGCTTTGTCACTCAGAAAATGCAAAAGAAAGCGCACTTGAACTGTGTTATGTAACACTGAGAAACACGTGATTAAAATGGACAAAATTAAGGATTGTGGGTAAATTATTATCTTGCTTTATCTCCTGTAATTGCAATACCAGAAGCCCATGCCATGAAAAAAATCCACATGACTGATAGACAAACAAGTAAAGGAAGGAAATGGTGAAATGCACTTCCTCTTTTTTCCAGAAAAAAAAATGAAGAAAAAAATGCAGTTGAAGTCAATGTTGCACTTGAGATTAATTAGGCCTGGTGTGAAACATCTGTTTAAAGTACAATATCCCCTGATAACCAAGCCTAGTGTTACAGAAATATTGGTCCCAATGGTTATAAGTTAATGTCTGCATTTGTCAAAGAAATAAAGATTTCTATCAGAAAATGTACAACAAGAGGCTCATTATATCATCCATATTTCTCATAAATACCATGGATATGTCAAAGTGAAAATTGAATTAAAAGTCCCAACTTTATGTAATTTTGACCTTAATTGGTAGCCCAAAAATTTCTTGGTCTCTTGAGTGGGGTTTGATATACAGTTAAACTTGTATAATCCAGATGTTGTATAATCTGAAATCTTGTCTAATACAATGTAAACTTCAAGTTAATTTCAATATTTTCAATTGTTGTATATGTTGTGTAATCTGGAATGCTGTCTCCAATATCCTATAAAACAGTAGGCCAAAGCCGCCAGATTAGACAAGTTTTTACCAGGTATGTGGAAAATTGAATTTAAAATAAAATCAAACTAAAAAAATAATGATTACAGATATTCATTTGGCCAGTTCACAGGTGCAATACTGTCTGTGCCTAATAAAGAAGGACTTGAAAATACCAAATCAACTGTGACAATCTCAAGTATATTTCTTGTTTGTCTTTTTTCAATTTTCTTGTTAAGTATTTTATCCTAGTGGCAGAATTTTCTTGCAAGCACCTGTCAATTTCTAATTATAAAGTTGTACACTGCACAGTGAACATGGTAAAGAGAATACAAAGAGCAATGCTTATTTCCCTACTTCTTAACTAAAACAGCTGGTAATGAATATTTCATCAACACGGCAGCAACAGAAAGAAAAAATATTTCCTTAGGATATTTTTTGGTGCACTGATATGAACTTTGAGTAATTTTCAATTGACCTAAAAGAACTTAGTGGCAACATCACAGAAAAAAAAGAGATTGTGGCATTGTGTCACGAGAAATATTAGATGCCAGGGCTAAGACAAAGAGCAGAAGAAACCTGCCAATGCCAAAATCTCCCGCAACACAAAAGGTGTCAGGTCTTGTACAGAGAGAGACCTGTCGCCACTTCTAATTTGTTTGCAGGCACATGAAACGCTTAGACTATTGATGACTTAATTTTGAATGATTGCGGGTTTCTCCTGAATATTTACTCTGGCTCGCCTGTAATGGAACACGGTAGAAAATTAATATCATCACCTGCCAATATCAACTATTGAACCATGTGGAAAAAGCTTTCTTCTCTTAATCAGCATTTAACTAATTACTAATTATAACTAATACCTTGGCACCATAACTAAGTCCTGGAAAAAAAGAATTATTATGGAAATTAAACATAATTTCATGGAATTTATTCATCAACACATCTTTTATTTTAGGGGGATTTAAGTTCATGAGAATGAGAAATCTTCACATTTCTCGCCACACCAACAAAAAAGAAAACATCAAGATAGTCTTTGGTATTGATTCCCATTGAACAGACTATTTCAGGTGAAGTTTTCAAAGAGAATCTTAACACCACCTCTAAGGAACATAGAAACTTGGATATAAAGGAAAACTTCTATTGACAAAGACATGAAGAGTATCAGATAATTCAGATGAAGGCTGTGATGTGCTTTTGTCATAATAAACACGGTGTCAGTCTGGAGAACTAAGACACTTATGGAGAACGTTCTTGTTTTTTGTTGATAAATAAATCATTTACTTCTATAACTGTGACTCCTCACCCAACCAGTCCTTTTCCCATTAACAATAAATACATGTAAAACAAGAACAACTTAACATTATTTCATGTTATTTTTATTAATTATTCAAATTTCATATTCATTCTTAAAATTCTGGAAATGCAAATATGAGATCAAAATGATAAACTTTGTAACCCATTATTTTTGTAAAGAAAGTTCAAAACTGGGAATATTTCCATAGAACATGAATGTCTTATACTGTGAGTTCACTTTAATGCAACATGAAAAGAAATATATATAAATTAAATATTTTTTAACCCCTGCAAGAGTATCATAAGTACAGGTTATTAATGAAGGGTAGTGAGGTCAAGGTCATAGGAAGGTTAACCTCAGAAAATTTTGACACAGCTGAAAAGCTCTCATAAATTTGTATTTGGTGTCTGAATTTTGATGCAAATATCTTGAATAGTTTTTAAAAGTGGGATTTAAACACAAAAGGA